GAATGCACGTGATCTCTTCTGACCTCCGAAGTTAAGCGGTGGAGAGTTCGCCTAGCGCTGGCCTGGGGGACCGGCTGGGAAGCGCTTAGGGTGCTGTCAGCTTTTCACTTTGCACCCGCCTTCCAGTTATAAATTATCCTGGCAGGTAACATCCCTAACTGGTGAGCAGCTTCCGGCACGCCACAAAGAGGTGCTCCCCTAGCACTTGATGCCATCTTACATTTACGAGCAACTGTGCATTGTGTCGAGTCGGCGAAACTCTTTTGCTGCGGCGCATACAGACATGGACCGATGTGCGGACTCATGTCCAACACCACACAGTTTCCCAATGTTTGCAGGCTGTTCGCCTCCTGCGTCAAGGGTCTCTGCCCCACAGCTTGTTACACATCGATGGCGCTCCGTAAGACTCTGAATTGGAGAGAATGGGAGAAGAGGAGCAGAAGAGTTGGAGCAGAGTAGAGCAGGAGTGGGAGAGCGAAGTGAGTCGCTGGCAATTGTGCTGAGGTGGCTGCTGATTGCCATTTTTGACCTGAGCAATTAAGCGAAAAGTGACATCTAAGTTGTCTAGGAGCGCGCGTGGTGCAGAGTTGATTTCTGCTGGCTCCACTGAGGGTTGTCGGGCGTGGGCTCATCGTAGCCTTTGTGAATGAGAGTCTACGACTCAAATACTCTCTTGGAGTTGCCTGGCTGCTGGGCTTCCCTCTGCAAATTTGCGTTCTTCAGATTAGTCTCTAGTGTAGCACAGTGTTTCACGCCATCTGATTGAGGGCATTGGCTGCTGCCTTCTTTTATATTCTGAATGCGAATTTGAACATTTGCTCGCGCTGGACCTCCTTCCATCTTGGCTGCGACGGGTCTCGAAGGAGAGAAGCGCGTAACCATTAGTGCCTCCTGGCTAGCTTTGAGTAGCGCCAGGACTTCTTCGATCGGAATGCTGGTGCGGTCCACGTCCTTGATGTTGGAGTCTTGGTGTGCACTCCAAACTTGGTACGGAAAGACCGCAACAGTCTTCTTATTCTCTGGCTTCTCGATCCAGCCTCCTTTTCTGCATCTGACCTGATTTCTTCTTTATTCTGGATTTGTTCCACTCTGTCCGCAAGCTGATTCATGATTACTTGGATCTTGTTCGCAGAGGAATGGAGTTGTCGGATGGATCTTTGCTTTTTTCTGCACACAAGAATAGAAGAACTGAGAGCTCGCCCGTGCCCAGGAAGAAAATCCATGAGCTATTGCTGAACTGAGTTCAGCGAGTCCTCACAGCGTACCGCAATTCTGGCTAGAGTAATATCTTCTGTGCGATCTTTGCCCCCTGTGCTCTTGCCACTCCCCTTGGGCTGGTTCCTAGTCTGAGCCGGCCGCGCCTTCTTAGTGGGGGAGTCATCCGCTGGAGCTTCCTCTCCTCTTGGTCGAGGCTGAGGACTGTGAGAATGCGTTGCGGAATGCCATGACGTTCGGCGTCTATTCCCTGATGTAGAAAGCCAGATAAGTACCCTGGCAGATTTTATCCGAGAATAGCGAAGTCTGACGCGGCGCGCACTCATCATCAGCTAAGTATGCTTGATTATTTCTCCAGAACCCCGCTCGGTAATGTCCTGACTTCCATTCTACTCCAACGTGAGTAATGAAAGCATTAGGCGAAAGCGAGTGGGTACTGTCGTCAGGCTATTATCTGAGAAGGTGGGCAGCGTTATTGTCTCATCTAGGGATTGGGGGCGTGATGTTTTGAGTAAGTTGTCAAATCTCTGAATTTGCACACAGACTAACCTTGCTCATAAAGTGGGGGGAGGGGGGTGGGGGGGAGGGGGGGTTTGCTTATCCATAGCTTATCCTCCATGAGGCCTGAGAAGCTGGAATTGCAGAAGATAAGCATAAGAAATCTAGAGGATTTGTAAAGGATAAGACAAGTCAAGGATAAGCGTAGGATAAGCAAGTTATTCCTTTTGGAATTGCTTGCCATTGGGAAGGCTGCAGAACAACTTTTATGAGCATAAGTGTTGTTCAAAGAGATGCCCACAAAGAGAGAACCGATAAGCAAAGAGATGCTCTGCAAAAGCCCACAAGAGACAACCGACAAGCCTTCAAAGACGGGTCACACGTCAAGAGCCGTGTGCTGACTACATCCAAAGCAAAGGCCAGTGTTTTGGGGTTTAGGGACGAAGCTCAGGATAAGGGAGAATCCCCTGAGTGGGCAGGGGTTTCAGGGATGAGCGCAGGATAAGCCCAGGATTGGAGGAGCAGGAGGAGCAGGAGGAGCAGGAGGAGCAGGAGGAGCAGGAGGAGCAGGAGAAGCAGGAGGAGCAGGAGGAGCAGGAGGAGCAGGAGGAGCAGGAGGAGCAGGAGGAGCAGGGGGAGCAGGGGGAGCAGGGGGAGCAGGGGGAGCAGGGGGAGCAGGGGGAGCAGGAGGAGCAGGAGGAGGAGGAGGAGGAGGAGGCGAGGAGGAGGAGGAGGAGGAGGAGGAGGAGGAGGAGGAGGAGGAGGAGAGGAGGAGGAGGAGGAGGAGGAGGAGGAGGAGGAGGAGGAGGCGAGGAGGAGGAGGAGGAGGAGGAGGAGGAGGAGGAGGAGGAGGAGGAGGAGGAGGAGGAGGATCTTGTTTTTTGTGGTGTCTTGGGCATTCCAGTTTCAAGCACAAGCACGAGAGACGTCAGAGCACGAGATACGTCAACCAAAAAGCGTTATTAGAAAGAGCCTTTTGACAGTCCCCCGAACTCTTGTTTTGACAGCCTGTCATGTCAGATGATTGTTGCATCAACCCTTGCCAAGTAAACGCGTGGGCGTGTGGTGTTTTGACGCTTTCTGTTTCGGGGCATGTTTCTGTAAGCAGTTGTGCGCCTGTAAGCAGTTGTGCGCTGTGCGGGCTTCAAGCTGTGCTTTCGGACCTGTGCAAAGCACAGTGTTTCGATTTGCGGTGCCACCTGTGCACTCTATGGATTCACTTGCATTTCGCGCATTCACATGATGATACCACAAAAGGCAAGGCAAGATGACGGAGCAGCACCATTCCAACGCAAAACGGCAAACAATACTGCAAGCCGTGACCGGATACTGGCATGGGTTGTTGCCACGAGTCCGCATATTGGTGGATTTGTGCCGTGCATCGGTTTTGATGTATACTTTGTTTGACTTCATGTTCAGAGCAACGTTTTGCTTCTAAGGCGCGGGCACGACGGCTGGATCCCGAAAAAAACTGCCGGAGGACGGGTCGACCTGTTGATGCACGTTTATGTTGGTTGTAACCGGTTCTGCAATCGTGGCCAGGTTTCATGGCATTGTGGGCTGAACTGCCATGGCTTGGAGGCACCCTTTTCATTTGTTGCACCGCTTTCCTTGCTGTTTTTTGTGGTGCAGGTTGAAGGCATTCCCCTCGAGAATTACTTAGACCATTTCACGGGATTGGGAAAACAAGAGCAGCATGAGGCCCGAGAGACATGCTTTTTGCATCCAGCAGTTTGCATTGAACTGTCTTGTTGTGGTTAGAGTGTAAGGTCATAAGATGCAAATGTGTGGTGTCAAGGTTCGTGTTTTCTGCATCATGTGCAGGTCATTACTCGTGTCATGCAAGAAGCAGAGCAGAGCACTTCTTCCAAAGCCAAGGTGCTTTGTTCAGAATCGGGAGGGTTGTGCTGGCTGCATCATGTTTGGGTCACAGGCTGGGGTGTGCAATCGGAAGGTAGCACGAGCCAGATTCCAAGCTTCGGCATGTTCATCAGCTTTGTGCCATGTTCGGTGCGTGCGCACGTTCTCCGCTTTTCGCACATCTTCACACATCTTCACATGTATTGTTCCACTCAGGTCGGCGTGTTGTCCTGGAATGTTGGTGGCATCAGCGACCACAGAAAAGACCAGGGAGCTGGCTTAGAAGAGGCGACGATGGTTTTTTCTCCGACGCACTCTGTGTGTTTTCGTTGAAGTCTTTGAACGCCAGGAAGCCCAGGCTGCCGTGGCAGATGTTCTTCAAGCTGCAGCATTCGCCTTGACAACTTTTGTGTGCCTCACATCTCACATGGTGCACTTTGCTCCAGTACATACGTTTCATTATCGTCATGTTGCAACATTTGCCGTGAACGTTGATTTAAAGTCATTGAGATAGCTCAGCCCAACTCCGACTGTATGTTGGGGTTGTCAAGACCCTGTAGGTCTCTGTAGCCTTCTCAGGCATTTGGGGCAGCCACCTTTGTGATTTCTCGACATCATCGCGTTCATTTCTGGTACCCTAAAACCCCTGTAGCCAATATTCATCAATAGTCCAAGTCCCAGGTCGCCAAAATTGGCTCAGCAGACGTGATCGTCGTTGGGTTGCAGGCCAGAGCTGAGTTCTGCGGCTTTGTGGGGTGCTGTGGACCATGCGTGCTTCTGTGATTTCAGTGGTAGAAGCAGTCGTTGAATGATGTTGAATGTTCAGTTTGAGCTCTGGAGCATCTACATATCCAACATGTCTCAACACATGCTCGACCAACACCTTCATCAGCTGAAGCAGCGGAGACAACACTGCGGGACCACATCTGACATCTGACTGGAAGCAAAGCATATCATATGAGGGTCAAGTCTCCACGATGGCACCGAGCACGGACCTTCTTGTTTTTTTGGTCTCCGGTCTGCACTGAGAGACATACACGGGAGATGATGCTGTTGCCATTTGTTGCCTACCAGCTTTGACCCAGGTGCGCTGGTTGGGGGCTGCTACTTTCACCTTCCGGTCGAAGCTTCTTGATACACCGCCCAGCTATTCCTCCTGCCAACCCTGCCTGATTCTTGGACTGGACATCGCAAGAGGGTGTACAGGCATATTCACGCACATGACGCAATGCCTTCTGCATCGCCCATCAGGCCGGCATCCCAAACCGAGTTTGGAACTGGCGAGGATGCCAGGCGGTCGTGTTCTGCATATTCTGTGTGTCTTGTTTCGTGTCTTTTCTTTGATCATGTGCACACTTTTGTGAACTCGAAACGATACGAGCGTTCTCGAGAAGAGGTGCGCTACCAGGCCTTGGGTGAGGAGAACGATGGCCCCAGCTGCAGCGGCGCACAGTGTGTATTTTTGGTGTGAATCTTTTTTGATCCTTTTTGGCTCATTTTCTGCATGTCCCCCCGTTTCTTCGATCGCCTACAGTGATCATGGCCTTGCGCCCAGGTCTCCTTCTACACGGCTTGCTCGTCAATGCGGCGGAGCTCAGAAATTTCCCCCTTCTTCGACGCGGTTGCACAGAGTGAAACTCCCGAGGCCGACCATTGGCGGCGAAACTTGCCCGATTTGGCCAAGGCCGCCGATTCCTGGTCCCTAGGATGTCCTGGGTACGTCCTAGGTCCGAGGAAGCAGATGCGCCATGTTGGCCGCAGGCAGGGCTGCGCGTCTATGCAATCGACTTTCTTGGCAGTGGCTACACTGACCGACTGGAACCCTGCAGCCCTGCAGCTTGTCAGCACACTCCCGCACGTCGTGATCCACACTTGAATTCATGGATCATGTGAAGATACGTCAGATACGTGCAGGAAGCTGCGCTCATCAGTGGGGAACGTGGAAGGAACCTAAGCAGCGTACAAGCTGAGCTTCTCCGGGGTGAAGGCCGGAGGGGGGGGGCTCCGGATAGAGCGATGTTGCGCGGTGAATAGCGGAAACGCAGAAAGGCATGCTTTCATCATGATAGCCACTGACCGGCAGGTCGCCGAGAAGTGGTCTCGGCAGCTTTGCGCATTCGTGAGGTCTTGCAGGAATTAGATCGGAATAACGGAGATTCAGGGTTTAAGGGATACAATTGATACAATGCCAAAAAAGTCCTGTGCTCTTAGCCTAGGTTCCGCAGCTGCATCCACTGGGCTCAGTGCTTCTTGTCTTCAAAGTGTCTTCAAGCTTGGCCTTCCTCGCGTGTGACTTTTGGCTGCTTGTCATTTCCACGAGTTGTCTCCGCATCTGCACCTCAACACCTTTCAAAGTCCTTCATGCCCTGTCTACTTCCCTTGTGCACACGGCCTCATCTTCTTGGAAATTCGAAGCATGTTGTTTAACCGTCAGCACAGCACCGCGCACCGACTTTCCACATCCGAGGTACAACATCTACACTTGGAGTGAGCAGGTGTGCGACTTCATTGACGAGGTCGTGAAAGCCGATGCTTTCTTGCGCCTAAGCTTCCGAGGAATCCCGTAATTCATCTCGACGTGAGTCTTCCACTCGAAAGAAACACCCAGGATCGGAAATTCCCTAGGTTCGCTCATCGGCATCTTGTCACTGTTTATCATCTCTTCTCGATTTGTTGATATATTGAGCTGGCAATGCCATGAGACATGACTTTTATTGGGTACAACCATAAACCCTAAAGCCCAAAGACGCTAGCAGCCCATGAACCGTTAACGTCTTCTGATCCGAAACCCCGAAACAGCTTCAAGGATTGCAGGCTGCCATTGACCGCTCCGATCGTGTTCGTGGGGTCCTGCTGGTGAACCCTCGCTTTCGGCAGGAGCATGTCGCAGAGGTGCAGCGTGGTTCTCAGACATTTGATAGCAAATATTTTGTACAAATTTTATAAAGAAATCAGAAAATTAGTGATGGTGCCATACGAAAATACATATATACATTATACATATACATATATACATACATACATATATATATATATGTATCTATACATATGTACGCATATTTTGCGTCGTTGATCATTGGAATCTTGGCGTATGTCCAGATGACCACAGCGTCAGTTTGTAGCCTAGTGTCATGCTACGACTTTGAGCAGTGTCACAGTGCCCCAAAGCGTCTCCTGCGCCTCCCTGGAGAGGCGCCTCCGGTGGCCAGGCGCCTTTTGCAGAGTCTTTCAGGAGTCGGGTTGGAGCTTCACCAAGAGAGAGAAGACCAACCCTAAACGCTAAACCCCAAACTCGAAACCTCAAACTCTCTAACCCTAAAACCTCAAAAGCCCCAGGCCCGAAATCTCAAACCCACTTCCCCCAAACCCGAAATCCCAAACCCACCACCTCCTGCTCCGTGCACGGGGTGGTTTCACACAGACGTCATGCAGGACTCCATCATTTGCAATGTCCGACCCAAACCCCCAACCCCTAAACCCTTAAACCCCAAACCCCTCACCCCTAAACCCTAAACCCTCAGCCCCAAGCCCCAAAATTCCTAAACACTCAAGCCCAAACCCCAGAATTCCCAAACCCCTAAACCCCTAGAAGCCCTAAGGGCCGCTGATTCGAAGCCTCTCGTGAGGGGGGTTTAGGGTTTAGGGTTTAGGGTTTAGGGTTTAGGGTTTAGGGGTCCCGAGGCCGCTGATTGGATTTGTGCAGGGCCTGCTCCGGGAGACCTTTGCGGCTTGGCCTTTCTTTTTGGGGATTGAGAGAATTGGGGCTTTGGGGGCTTTAGGGTTGGTGGGGGGTTCTAGGGATTTTTGGGGGTTTAGGGTTTCTAGGGTTTTTAGGACCTTGGGGGATTTAGGGGTTTAGGGGCTTTAGGGGTTTAGGATGTTTTAGGATTGCTTGGGGTCTTCTTGTGGTGAACAGACCCCCGTGGAGCATGGAAGCATCCCATCTCCATGATGCCTCCCTCCATGCCTTTTTGATTTGAAGGTTGGCCGGACCCTCTACGGCATGTTGGCCAATAAGGGCGCAGTGAAAGAGATCCTCAAGGAGCCATATTACGACGCATCTCAGGTGGAATCTTTCAGACAGCCAGCAGTGAAAACAAGCAAGTATATGGCTTACTTGGAATCTTACGGAATCTTCCGAAGGTGTCAGATGAGCTGGTGGATGTGCTGCTTGAGCCACTATTGCTTCGAGGTGCGGCGGAATCGGTTTTCGAGTCTTGCCTCAGCAGCTAATCGACAGAGTCTGAGAGCTCAGCGATGTGAGGTGTGGAGGCGGCTGCAGGGTATCATTTGCGCACGCATCGCACCCGAGGATACCTTGTCGTACTCTACGGGGCCGCTGCTGGAGCAGCTGCTGCAGGAGAGCTTTTGACATGGCATGTGTTAAACGTGCGGTTGACAGTGACATGCTTTATCGCAGTTTTGCAGCTGACCAGCTCGAGTCGCTCGGGATCCGGGGGCGCAGCTTTCGTTTCCTCAAGGGCGCATGCAATGTGTGAGAAGATCCCGGAAGGACTCTCGTCTGGCCGCTCCCGTGTGGGTGGCTTTGACGAAGTTTTTTACCTCCGGCTTTTTTTTTTTGCGAGCTGAGGAGTGCTAGGCTGAGCGTAAGGCATGCTGGGGAGACAAAGATCCATGGACTCCGCTGCAGCGAGCTTCAGCCCTGGCTGAGTTGCCTTCTGTGAAGAGGCTGATCGAGTGTCCTGGCCAGAACATGCCCCAGGGCTCTAGTCTTCCGGGTCATCTTCTTGTGACTGTTTGTTTTGCGTCTTAGACTCAGGTTTCCAGGAGTTGGGCATTGCCCGCACGACGAAGCACCCAATGCTTCCAAGCTGCGCTGGATTGCTATGACATCTATGATCTCTACAGCTGATGAGCTATGCAGTAATGTGCAGTCATGCATTCGCCCCAGATTTTGCGATATTGTGAGCTTTCTGCAGGTGGTGAACGCGTTGATCATGGAGTTCACGCGCAGTTGTTCGGAAGCGTCATCTGGGGACAAAGTTTAATTTCACCCAGGGACGGACGAAGAGCGCCGGGCAAGTAGAAAATGGGCCACCGCACGTTGGTGCAGCAGAAGGGTGCATCATCAACTGAGAGAGAAGGATCAAGAAGAGCATCAAGTGCTTTGCAGGAAATCATCAGCTTGACACCTTCGAATGCCATGAAGGGCACGAGTAGTTTCAAGGAGTCTCGTGCGAGCCTCGACGCTCAGATCCTCACACGATGGGCTCTCGTCATGCTCCCGAGGCAAGAACCAGACTTTCTACGGCTGGCCAGAAACTGTGGCGCAGTGGGTTGAATTGCTTCTAGGCGCGGTGATCTTGCCTCTCTGTCGCAGTGGAGTGGGTCGACGTTTTAGGGCTGATATTTCAAGAGTCGCTCCCGACGTGTGCCTCTTCAATTCGTCTGTTGGGAGGTGCACGGGTGTACCTCCTGGTCCTGATTGCTAGCTCAAGGGTCCTGGTACATGTGTTTTTCATACGGCTGGGAAGCATGGTACCGCCGTGGCCATGCAGAACAACGAGTTCCTTTGCAGCATCGTTCCAGTGGGATGGTGAAGCTACCAGTGAGGTGAAGGGTTGGCTACCTTCCTGTTCAATGCAAGTGGCATTCTTGCTGCACAAGGGCAACGCTTGTTGCGGATTTATTGGTTCGATGACAGTCTCATGACACTTACTTGGCTCTCTTGCGAGTTGTGGGCCAGTTATGAACTGGTTCTGAAAGTCATGTCATGTCAGCCTATGTTCGGAAGGTTAGTCGCGCTCGTGAAACCACGCTGTGTGTGCCTGGCGCTCGCTTCTGGGATTCCTCTGGATCTTGATGGGAGGCGGCCTCAACTCTCGGCCACTGCCAGCGGGAAAGAGCTTTTGCTCCATACTTGGTTCTGGAGTGACTTCGCAAACTTCTGGTATTTTTCATTATTTTTCCACTTCGCAGCTCTGAGGCTCCTGTGACCACCGGGCCCACTCCTTGGGCTCAAGGGCATCTCCTGTTCCAGCCACTTTCTGGAGCTTCCAACTCTTGAGGCCTACGTGCTCTACGGCCAACCAGTGTATCTCTTCGGCCTCCTGCCACGAGCTCAGGCTTGTGACTGTCGGTTGAGTCCCCCGCCTGAATTTTCTCATGGTCTGCAACTTGCTGAGGCTGTGTGTTTTTTGTCCAGCATATTTGCTGAAGCACATTCGTGATTTCGGCGCGGGCCCCAGAAGTTGTGCGAGGCTGCAACAGCTTGACATCGGAAGGTAGGTGGTGCGGCGTGTGTTTTTTTTTTTTCCTTAGGCATGGCAGAGAAGCCGATGGATCCGAGGATCAAGTCAGGCAAAGACACATTTTTCTGGGAGCATTTCCCTGGGAAACCAAAACTGGCTTGTGGTGCCTGGAGGTGCCAAAGGTGCTGTAGCATGCCGCTTTGTTCTCTGGGCCAAGAGCTCGGCCAAAGCTCATGCACGTCGGGATACGCCGGGCGCGGGCACCAGATGTTGTTGATTGCTCCCGTGACGTTTACCCGTTTGCCGAGGACCGCAGCTTTTGCTTCCTCAACTGTCATCTAGCGGCCACCACCTCGAACTCTGCGAGGCTGCGCCTGACTCGACGCATCTTATGATGCTAGTGGTGCTGATACTTTTGATTGAAGTGTTCTTTGAAACTTTTGATTCTGAGTGTTGTTTTCGTTCTTATGCCCCATGTATTTTCAGTTAATGTTTCATGAAGTTTAATGGTCATAATGTTGAGTATTCTGATAAGCAGGATGCCCGGTTTTATGGTAATGGGTGTCGCTGGCTGTTATTATGCACAGTGCTCCCTGTCTTTGGGTCTAGGTTTATCACACTGGTCTGGCTCTCTTGTTTCACTTGTATATGTTTTATACTGATCCTGGACGGTTGTTTCAGGACTCCTGCTTATGCTTGTTCTTGTTTGGAGGAAGTTTGTTCCTGTCCTCACTGTTTTGGTATCCTTGTAGCCGCTTCCGCGCCGGCTCGGCAGCCGAGCTGGCCGCCGGCCCAATCCACGGGACATGCATGTCGACGGTCCAAGCGGTGCACTTGCGAGTTTCCAGTCCACACCGTGGACCCAACAGGTTGCAGAGATGGAAAGCGCAGGTCGAGCAGCCGACGCAAACGCGAAATCGTGCACCAACAGCGTAAGTGAGCTTGGGGGGTGCACAAAGTATAGGCTTTTTGGAAGAACCCCCCAAGCTTTGTTTTTTTGCCTCAAGCATCTGTTCCAGAGTTGCCAGATGGCCAGATGGGGCCGAGGGGAGTCCTTCAACTGCCCTGTGTATATTCACTTACACGACTAGACTGTCACTAGCTGTCTGTTTTGGCTCAAGTGCATCAAAGGACCGTGACTGACGGGTGTATCGTGCTGTGATTGATTGAAGCCATATGACGGACTTTTGACTGAAACTAGAACTTCTCAAGTATGACAGCCTGTTGGTTGAATCTTGAATTTTTTCAAGGGTGATTTCAGGAAAGCCCCATGCCAGAAAGGCTTTGGGTTCAGAAATTCCCGCGGGGCGCCAGGGGATCCCACAGGTCCATGAATAGGGCCAGGGCGGTTTAGCAAGTCTCAGCTGCAGGCCGAGGCGAACTGGTATTACTGGTATTGACAGTATTACTACAAATCTGATTACTACAAATCTTTTGTGTGGGTTCTGCATGCTGAAGCCACTGGGTGGGGCCTGTCTCTTACAGGAGCATCAGCTAGAGCTGGCCCGGGGCTTTGAGACGCCCCGGAGCATCATGAGCATCAGCCATCATGAGCATCAGCTTGAGCTGGCCCGGGCTTTGAGAGCAGACGCCCCGGAGCATCATGAGCATCAGATGGCCCGAGCTTTGAGACCAGACGCCCCGGAGCATCATGAGCATCGCAAGCCACGGAGCATCATGAGCATCAGCTGGAGTGTGTTCGGGTTTGAGATTAGGATACTTCAAGCGAAATACGTTGCGCGGTGCGTTTTAGACTGCCTCCGGGAGTTCAGGGGTTTGAGGTTAAGCCTAAGCCCTGAACCCGCCCTTTAAATCTTAAACCCAAGCCCTACCTGGTGCACTTTTCGAGGATGACGTGCCAGAGTTGTGGACTTTTTCGCAGTTTTATAGGGTATATGTCAAAAGCCCCACTACATGTTTTGGGAGTCCCGAACATGAACTTGGAAGCTTCTATGGGGGGCTTAAGTAGCAAGAAAAGATTTGTAGCACGCTTGGTGAACACCTGCGTGTAGTAATTTCAACTCTTGCTGAGTTGCAGGTACGGTCTGCGAGATCTGAAGCAGCGTTTGCAGCAGATGCAGCAGTGCTGGACAGAGGCATAACATGTCAGAGTTGTAAGGCTGTTTTGCATGTGGACAGGTTAAGACAGTTTGCATCTTTTGCCCAGATCAAGTTCAAGTCGCATGTGAATCAAATGGCCGGAAGCCAAGGTTGGAAGCAGAAAGGTCCCTTGTCTCCGTAAGAATCTCGCCACACAATCGTGCAAACCTAGGTATATCCTGTTCCTGCTCACCGGGCGATATTCCTCATGGGGGACTCGCCCTGCCAGTTCGTGCCAGTTGGGAAGTGGTTTCAGAGCAGCGCTGGAGGGGATTGGTGAGTCCGGAAATTCGCAGGACACCAACATGAGGCTGGTCAACAGGGAGAGCAAGAAGGACTGGTTTCTACCACTTCTGGTTGGATGGAACATGACACCGTTGCACCTGAAGAAAGTACTTAGGGAGAATGCAGGACTTCCATGCACATGCGATGCAAGTCCTCAGTGATCTGGCCTACGATTGCAAGCGTCTGCAAGGCCCGGCTTGCGGGCCCTGTCATGTATCAGCCAAGGTGAGTCGGAAGGCTACATGGACCTGTGGAAGTTGGACCAGCTCAGCCAGGATTCTACAATTAAGGGGAGGATGAGTCCTCTTGCTGTCTTTTTCGTTGTGTTCTCGGTGATGTTTTCGAGGAGATGGCTGCAGCTCCGCAGCCCTCTATCCTCCATCAGAAGAGCATCGGCTGCCTGAGCGCAGCGGCCTCATGCACTCAATGCACACAGTTCGGTGCGACTCCAGGGGTGTGTGTGTGTGTGGGGCATGGCAGGTACCCAGAGATGAGCGCATCTTGTGGCAGTGGTTCGCAACCCGGTGTGCAGTTCTTGGTTTGTACAGCCTGTCACAAGTCAGCATCATCATCTGAACCAGGCGCGAACCTTTCGTGGACGCTGCTCAGGGCCCACCCTTTCCTCCCACGTTCAAGCTTGCAGTGCCCTGATCCCGGCAAGAGAGCTCTGTTCATACGATACGTATACACAGAGGTGTGTCAATGCATCACCCTACCCCCAGGCCCGGGCCCGGATACAGCAAGAAGCGGGTGCCGGTCCACCACTCAGTTTCGAAATGTTTCGAAAAAGAATGGAGAAGCGGAACAGCCGGAGTTTAGGCGTGGACAGATCGCGTCTTGTACAGCGGTGAGCATGCTGAGTCCGAAGCCAAGGGAGCTCAAGTGATGTCACTCAATCAAGTCATGTTTGCCCGCATGCCCAGGCCTTTAAAGTATGGCTCTGTCGAGCAGAACAAGGCGCATCTACCAGGGTTTCGATTTTGTATGTGGAGCCCGTCGGTCCCACTCACAGGTGCTGAATCCGCCGCACAATGTGTCTGACCATGACCCAGTGTGCGCTCGACAGCACATAAGTTGATCCAAGAGTATGTCATGGAGCCCTGCTGCAGGTATGCGTTCTTCGACGTAGAGTGCATGGCCATTCATCCGAGGAGTCTTGCTTGCAGCTAGTAGCACAGGCTTTTGCATCGCACGAACGCGCGAGCCCTCAGGCGCCTCGGCACGCTGGCACGGGAGGTGAGAAGCGCCGCAAAAGATTCCCTGAGGCAGGAAAATGGCGTGGCTGCACAAGTTCTGGAGCCAGTTTACCGAAATATAGAATCCTGTGTGACGATGAGCAATGTAGCCCTCGGGCCCTCCGGCAACAGGTACTGTCTCTGAGTTCCTGTCTCTAAGTGGCAAGACATGGAAAAAATTGCGGTCCAGCCACAAGGAAGGCGCCGCTCGCGCGCAGTCCCACGACACAGCTGCAAGTACAGCAGCAGGCCAGTTACACATGGGTGTGTGGAAGGGTCTACATTACATGTCTACATACCACATCATCGTGTGATGAAAAGTGTCGATTGGTGCATTTGTTTGCTTTGGTCTGCTGTTTGGCTGTTTAGAAGCACATGTCCGCGCACATCCACTGTCAGGATCAAGCATTTGGCAGCGGTATGCTGTCTGCCAATCAACCTGATATGGATGAGATCTCCAGGCCTTTTGCTGGCGTTTTTTTGAATGACGTGTTTCGCCAGTGCATGGGGCCATGGTCTTAACGCAGGAAACTCTACGAGCAGGTCACCTCGCCTGGTTCTTGCAGAGTGTACTGTCAGCTCACTGTGTCTCTTTGTCTCTGTGCAGTGTCTGTTGTAACTCTTTGGCTGATGCGCAGCCCCGGCTCATTTTTTGGCCGTAGGTGCCTTCCTGAGCTGTCTTTTATATCACTGGCATTCATGGCCCTACTCCGCCCTGTACTACCAGGGCTGTTGTCTCTGCACGTTGCGTGGTCCTATGGTGTGTTTGCTGATGCTGCTGCGGCAGCTGCACACGACGACGGAACATGCGTGCTCGGGCAGGATGGACGCTGCGTAGAACATGAGACTAGTTTTGTGCAGGTCCATCATGATCATCTCAAGGGTCGTTGCGCTGCTGGTGAGATTTTCAACGTCGTAGCGAAGCAAATCAGGTCTGCAGACGGTCAGGCCCCACCCGAAGACAGCATCATTGCTGCGTTTCGCAATGGCTGTGATCCCACAACTGCGACGTACTCCAAGGACTGTCCGACAATAAAGGAATCGCATGCGAAGGCCTATATCCGCACGCTCGATAGACTGAACCGGGGAGTTCGCAAATTTGGTACTGTGGCAATGTCCTACGATGACTTTGCCACGATTGCACTTTTTCAGTGCATGTGGCACAATCGTCACAATCCCGGCGACAACTTTGGAGACGAGCCTTTTGACACATGCACTGAGGAAGAGCTGTGTGGCATGGTAACGACGAAGGAGGATTATGAGAAGCACCTTTCCCCAGTTTCTCTGGAAGCAATGCGCAAGCACCCGAGACACCTAGAGCATCGCAAGACGGAAAATGGCTGGCCAGGCACAGGGAAAGTTTACCAGATGGTCCGGGTATCCTTGCTGCACAAATCTGACGGGACCTCGTCGGCTCCCGAAACGATCCTGGGGCAGAGTGGCTTGAGGCTTTCTGTGATCAATGGCGGATGGGCAAAGGAGTCTAACCTTTTCCTGGAGCCCAAGTACTCAGAGGGCTTTCAGATTGCTTGGGGACAGATCCGCGATGGCATGCTGCCCAAGGAGGCGTGCCTGTGTTAGGCGCTGTGTTATGCAGATGTAGGACGTGTTCTTGATCTTATTGCCAGCGCACCCAGCTCCTGCCCTAAGCAAAATTCCTGTAGAGCAGGCAATTGGCGGGCCGCCGCTGCACCTTGAGTCCGGCCTTGCTGTGGCCGAGCCCGGGCAGGTGATCCGAAACTTTTCGGATACTCGGGTCGCTGCGAAGATGCCACCAGCAGCCGGAAGCCCCATCACTCTCGTTGTGATCGGCGACCCCTGCAACGGCAACATGCTGGGTGGTGGCCAGTGCATCTTCCGTGACTACTACGGGGTGAACAAGACGCTGCCCGTTCTGCTGAATGCTGCCTTGCCTAGCAGCGATATCTGGTACCTGACAGGCCACTGCGGAAAGTCTAAGAAAGGTCGCAGGAAAGCTGTCTGTTTTTTCTCTCCCAGGAAGGATATACGTAAACAGCCTCTTACTAGATGCTTCATGCAACAGCGGAAGCACCGCGACATCTGCTGAGGTGACAACTTTTATGACCGCTATGGCGTATTCAGTGTCAGTATCTTTGCGCAACTTGAGCCGGCCGCACAAGGCGTTCCCCTGCTTACGACGCCCGGGAATCACGACTATTGGTTCGATGGGACCCCTGGCTTGGCCTTCAACGATGGCTTCTTCGGCTACGATCAGTTTGCTAATGGAGCTGCGCAGTTCTATGCCATGGACTCGGCGGCCGCCTGGGCGCCGGCCGCTCCGGAGGAGAAGCTGATCTCCCCGAAGGGGACATCGCCCTCCAGGTTTTCGGAGGCACCGGCTTTCCTGGACCTTTCGAAGGCTCCGAAGGAGAGTGCGAATATGGCGAACTTCCAGCACTACAGCATCGCGGGCAATGTGGGCTTCATTGTCATCACTTGCATCGGAGGAGATCCCCGGCCATTTGTGTCGGAGGCATGCACCTTCATGAAGGAGAAGAATCCTGACTTGGTCCTGTTCTTCGGCCACTGGAACAAGCCAGGTTCTGGCTGCAACACTGGCTGGGATGTGCCAAATGTCACGTACTGGGCCCTTGAACACTCGGACTGCGCTGCGTTCCGTGGTCAGACAGGCCAGGCCCCATATGGTCCAGCGGGAACAGCAGCGACACGCCTGAAGTTCGTTGTGGGCCATCAGCACTGCAACTGCATGACCAGCTTCAAGAAAACCTTGGAAGATAGTTGTGTGGATGACACTGCCGATCCTTCTGAAGTTGATGGCTTCATCATTGGCTCCCACGGCATGAGCTGGGATCCGCAAAGCGCGCCCAAATGCAGCGCGCGCTTCGGGCTGCCGGTGCTGCGCACGGATGGGGGGGCTTTGACCGTTGCCTACGCCAAGCTGTCCTTGGAGACCACGCTGACGCACTGCTCGTGGTATGCAATGTGGTGCCATTCAAACCCTGGCGAGGTGTCACGGACGGATTTATGGCTGTCCTTTGCGGGATCCACTCCATCTGCCTGGGCGCCGACGGCCACGGGGCCATATGGAAAGGGCATCATCGTGGAAAAGATGGACACACTCCTTGCCTGTTTGAAAGAGAAAGGTACACAAGAATGCTCCAAGGACAGCAGCCTTTTCGACCAATGGTACTCCAAGGCTCTGCAGTGATGTTTCGATGAGGTCTTTTGGGCGCTGCATCTGGGCTGGAAGCTTTCAGAGTGGCCAGGGCAGCGCTGTTGCCCACAGCGGCAAGTCGGAAAGCCTCAATTTTGCCTTTCGTCTTTAGTCGTTCGGCGAAATCTGGACAAAAGCTCCAACGTTTCTGCATGAGCGCCTCGACGGCCATTGGCAAAAGCGCAAAAGCGGAAGCGTCGAGGAGCAAGGCAGAGCCCTCAGAGCAGGGATCCACGTGCTCATGATCTCACTCATCTCACTTCCTGTATCAGAAGCTAAGGCTGGATGACACGAGCCAATCTGCTCTGGCTTGTCTCATGCTGCAGGAGTGTCAGGAGGCGTTGCCATGTGTTGTCCGTCGAATCTTTTGCAGCAGCAGAGTGCCATTAGCGGAAAGTGAACAACCCTTGGGCACAGGAGTGCTGGAAGGCACTTTGCGCGCAAATGGAGCAAAAGCAGATGTCTCAGCTGGCTCGTCTGGCTGAACTGATATCGTTGACATGCTCAGAGTTGAACGGAGTCACAAGGTTGGGGTGCTCCATCCGTGCGCGTCTGAGAAGTGTTTGCCATCGAGCTCGGGTACATTGCAGAACTGCTGAGGCCATGTAGTGTCTACCACTTCCTCCAGCTACCCAGACCTCATGGATGAGGTGACCGGCACGGGGCGGCCAATCAGAGCGCAGACTCAACCAATTTGTTCGAGACATCCTTTTCCAGTAATTACGCTGTACCATTCGGCCATAGTCTGCTTGAAAGCTTCCGACATGTGAGGGCACCACCTGTTTAATTGGGGCCCCCCCCCCCCCACCGCAATAAGGAAGGCAGGGTTCCGCAATAATTGGACCATGGCCCTGCATTGATTCTCTATTAAAGACAATAGGCTGCAGATCCCTGAGGTGCTGTAGCTTCGCATCTCCGCAAGCAAAACAAGAAGCGAAAAACATCTCTTTAAATGTGGGGGGTTATCCCCATACGAAATCCACCCTAATGGAAAGTAGTCTTCCGGCGGGCGTCCGGACGAATAACATTTCTTTAAATGTGGGGGTATTGATTAAACAGGTGCTCGGATTACGCAGCTTCAGTACCCACAGCAGTGAACAGACTCGTATGCGTACTGGAGCTTCGCGGCTTCGCAGACCCCAAAATTTGAACCTTCTCGGGTCATCTGGCCTTCTTGGGAAGCGGAGATGCTCGTGATGACGCTGTTTACAGTAGGGGATTGTAGGGCCTCTCCTTGCTGCTTTTAGAACTTAGCCTCACAACAGAAAGATCAAATCGGAGGGATGAGAAGCGCAGATTTGTGCAGGAGGAGGAGGAAGTCGTCAGGAGGCTGGACTCCGAAGCACTGCGAGAAGGTCTGAGAGAGGCGCCTTTTTGTGGGGCTTCTTTTGCAGTCCATGCAGCTGCCATGCAGCTGCCATGCTTCTCTGCGCGACGCTGTTGGCGACTTTTGTGTTCCTTGCCAGGTCTTGAGCTCAATGCAGCGCGATCTGCCGAGCTCACGTCCGACGTTGCTCGACAGGAGGATGGTCACATCCAGGCCTCGGGGGCCTTAAAAGCGCCTTGGGTATGAATAGGTATCCCTGGGTATCCCATCGTATCCCATTCTCTTACTGGTCTTTCAGGAAGAGCTCGGCGAATTCCTTGATGAGCCTATGAGACCTGGTGAGTGGAGACATAACGAGGCCAGCAAAGTCTATGCAGTCTATACACGATCGTGTTTCGATTTAAGTTGAGGTGCTTACAGCTTGTTATTTCAATTTGTTGTGGCTGGAGCCAGAGTGCTCTTGCCCAGCTTGAGAAGCTGCTTTCCGTCAGCGACTGGCTTCTCATGCGACAGTTTCGAGCGTCACTTACCAACTGAGAGAGCAGGAGGGTTTAGGGTTTAGGGTTTAGGGGGTTAGAGAGGGAAGGGCAGTGATCACGGTCGCTGCGGGTCACTTGTGCGAAGAGGCTGTAGATTTTCCTGTTGACAGCCTGGTCCTTGCAGTGCCTTAATCTGCTTCCACTGCGTCCTCGAGACAGGTTTGGGGACAGATTTTTTCGGAATTTCAGGAATTCCGGGAATGGTGAGTTGGAGTCTCGGGGATGCAGCGATGCCCAGACGAGAGCTGTGTCTGAGAGGTGCTTGGCGAGCCGCAGAGTCCCTCTTCGGGGTTTAACTTGCGTTTTCGTGCGTCCGCAGCACACAAGGTGGCTGTTGTGTGGGATGTCAGTGTTGTGACGCTACAGATGCGAAGCAATGCTACAGAAATTGATGTCCGATGATTTCCGAGGGGTTCAGACCGGGGGCCCAAGGCCCCCCCACTCCCCACCTAAAGATAGCCGTGTGGCTTGCACCACAAGCGAATTGAACAAAACGGTTTCGAAGAAAGGGTTACAGCGAGTTGCACAGCAAATTGGGGGGGGCTCTTCGCAGCATTTCCAGCGTTCGCAGCTACTTCGCAGCAATCTCGAAGAGTTGGCAGCCGACTTGGCTCAGGATGCAGCCCAAGGCACATGCAGCTTGTCCCACAGTGACGCAGTGAGTTAGTTAACACCTTGCTCCGAACCCAGTACTTAGTAGCACTGCACTGGAGGTCAAGCTTAAAGTCTCTTGTTGCAAGCTTCGTGCTAGGATTCAGATATCATGTAGAGCTGCTGCAGAGCAGACCAGAGCCGTGTTGTAACATCTGTGCCTCAAAGCACCTCGGCTCGAAGATTGCAGCGGTTGGCACGAACGATGTAAAAGACAAGGCCCAGCCCAACGCCCCACCAAGGACATGGAAGGCGGTCGTGGTGCTGTGCGGGTGCCAGTGCTGTGTCTGCAAGACTTGTCTGGAGTTCCAGCTCAGTTTTGAAGAGTACAGACATTGGATCCCATCCACTCTCTCTGACATTCTCTGACCAAGTCATCGCCGTACCGAAGTGCTTCCGGTATGGCTAGGGCCTCATTGACTCATTGAGCTGTGCTTGTTCCCAGCTGTGCATGTGCACAGCTGCCGACCCTTTGCAAGGCGAGCACGTTGGGCACTGGAGCAAACAGATTCAGGCCTACAGCTTCTATGGCCGGGGGGGCGGGGCAGGCTCTTGTTTCTTGGGTTGGGGGTGCTGGCGCCCACATACTTGAGACAGCTTGAGATTATCCGGCAGGGCAGGGAGGGCTTGAGTGAGATGATCTGGCGGGGAGTTAGGGAGGGCTTAATTGATTTTGAAAGGCCCAACTACCCGCAGAGCCCAGATTTGCATAGTCGTAGGGAGCGGGGCGTTGATATCGTTTGAGATTCTCAAGTGTGTTGCATTACCAGGATGGCCAAGGCGGATCAATACTCGCACAGAAATAGGAAGCAGTTGGCCATGTGTGAAGACTGAGCCTAGCCGGCCAGTCGTCTAAGGAACCCTGTAGAACCCTAAGCCCTAAACCCCAAACCCCAAACCCCAAGCCCTAAACCCTAAACCCTAAACCCTAAACCCGAAACCCTAAACCCTAAACCCGAAACCCTAAACCCTAAACCCCAAACCTCGTGGTTTTGCATGCTGGGAAAGGTCTGCAAGCCCCTCGAGGCGAGCTCTCGCCATAGCCCGGATCCCAGCATCGAAGGTGCCCAGCGTGTCTCGGGGGTCTCCGAAATTAGGGGAACTTTTGTTGCTGTTGGTTATTTTTGAGGGAATCCTATTATTTGGGGTTCTATATTCGGGGTCTTGGGTCCTTATTTTGAGGCGTCCTAGTATTTGGAGGTCTATATTGGGGGGCCCCTTTTTTCGTAAACCCCCACAGCACAAGGAAACGCACCCAAGGGATTCGACCATGAGTCAGGACACCAGGATTCAGGAAGCCCGGGTTTTGGAAATTCCGCGATTCAGGAAACGGCGTGATTCAGGAAACAGGATTCACTCGATGCAGGAAACTGCCCGTTTCAGAAACCCATGCGATTGAGGAAGGAGTGGGGTGGGGCGGGATGACAACGTTCACGTCACCGGTGCGTTCATGCCGCATGCCCAACTTGCCCGAATCCTCGGTTTCCGCGGTGCGTTTTTTCCGGTTTCCCGACTCTGTGGTCTTTAGTTTCCTTTGCCGGTTTCGTGTAGACTCCTGAATCAAGGGGTACTGGCCTCCCTGAGAGTTGAGGACATGCGTCGCATCGCCAGCTTGCTTCGCCCCATGGCTGAACAAAGCCATGGCTTTGCCATTTTTCAGTTGTCAGTGTGTGGTTTTGTTGCATGTTAAGCTTTGTTGTGGATGTGTTGTGGACCTTCTCATTCCAGAAATCCAAGTAAACCAGGTGTCTATACAAAATCCTCAAGTTTCGAACAGCCCCCGGGCCGTTGAAAGGCGACCCAGCTGGGGCTTTGCAAGGTACTGGGGAGAGCCTCGGCGGCACGTTGATGGGTCTGCAGCGATCCTATCACATTCTCTCCTGTTGAGGAGCATGAACAATTCCATCTGCTCCAGCCCGAACAGCGCGACATCCTCAGATCCACAGCTTCTACTTCTTGAAGGGTCGCACTTTGAGGGTTCAAAAAGGGGACATAAGTACGGTTTTTTTTGAAGCCGCATGACGTTTGCTGCTCTACGGAACCACATGTGCTGCGCAGGCTTGGGAGCCTGGAGATCGGGGGGCGGCCCCTACTTCTTTGGGTGCTTCTGCTCGAGAACGGGACTCAGAGACAATCTTGCTCCGGCGCATCCCTTTCAAGGTCTCAACTCATTTCCTGCTGTGTAGGTGCGTGGGTTGATTCCTTAAAATGAGAGAAGGACATCAACATATCTATATTGTATGTACATATATATATATTATATATATATATATATATATATATATATATCATGAATAACATAATGTATATGCCTTTAGATATTATGGATTACATAGAGAACCCCTGAAGTGCCCATGGTTTTGAACGAGCCTTCATGTGTTTTGAGCAAAGCCTCGCCGAGGCGGCCAGCTTGTCCCGCATGGCAGACCTGCCACGTTGCCACGCGCTGCACAAGTGCTTGTTGCTATGGGGGATTAGGGTTTAGGGTTTAGGGTTTGGGGGTTTAGGGTTTAGGGTTTAGGGTTTAGGGGCTAGGGTTTAGGGTTTGGGGTTTGCTGTTCTTCTCGTTGTTGTGAGAAGAGAAAGAGAAGGCTACATGTGTGTCGAGATTGGTCGTCGTTGTCGTTCTTATTTGGCAATAGCACTCTTCTTTACCTGCCAACCGTCTTCCCTTGCAGGGGCAAAGTATTCAGAAGCCTTGCCCTGCACTTGGAAGCATAACATCGCTTGAGCCAAACCTCCCTGGCTGACATTGGGATGGACTATTTGGAACAAACGTAGGTCGCAGGCAAGCAGAGGGCTTCACATCCATATCACTCTCCCCTAAGTGTCATTGCAAAGTTAGGTCTTCTTACGATGCAATCGGGGTTCTGCAATAGAGCTAGTGCATAGACGTGATGTGCTGTGGTGCTCAACGCTTGTGTGCATGCAGTGCCCCTGACAAAGTCGAGACAACGCACCATGTTGTTGGGCTTGAAGGCAGCCAGCAAGACCCCACCAAGGCACACTTCGACTTTCGTAACCACTACCACCACTACTGCTGCTGCTACTGTTACTACTCCTACTGGGGGGGTGGGGTGTCGGATGTTTGACGCCATTCCTTTCATGACTTCACGCGAAGTTCTAGTTGTAAGCGAATTCCTCAAACAGTGTGTCAACACGAAGCGGTTCTAACTTGAAGGGCAAGCGAGGGTAGGTCGGTGAAACACCAGTCCGGGACCATGCTTTTTCCCCGAAGCCTCTTCACTTCTGGGACAAAATCGCGCTGGCCTAAGCACGGGCACGCCCCGCCGTCCTCGAAACTATCCCTGCTTGTGGACGTTAGTCTTTGCGAACTGCGGAACTGCCGTCGCTAGTGGACTTCTGGCCTCACATGGTCTTTCACCGTTTTGGGTTCTACGCTGGCATGGTTTTTGTGAGGTCTATATAAAAAAGCAATACAACGTGTCATGATTTTCTACATTCTCCAGATGCAACTGCTAATCTGGCTTTCGACATAAACGCGACTTCTACAAGTTTTCTCTACATCAGCACAGATTTGGGTTCAGAGGTTTGCCTCTTCTTCGGCCTTCAACTCACGTGAACGGTTCTTGTGTGCTCACTCAATACGTGGCATCAAAAATCCACCAGCATCCTGCTGCTGCTACTGCTTCTACGAAGACTACTACTACCAGTACTACCACTCCTACCACTCCTACCACTCCTACCACTCCTACCACTCCTACCACTCCTACCACTCCTACCACTCCTACCACTCCTACCACTCCTACCACTCCTACCACTCCTACCACTCCTACCACTCCTACCACTCCTACCACTCCTACCACTCCTACCACTCCTCCCACTTCCACTACCACCACCACCACCACGACTAGTACCACGACTACTACCACGACTACCACCACCACCTGCCACCATTGCCACCACGAGCACGAGCACGACCACGACCACTACCACTGCCTCTACCACTACCACTGCCGCCAACAACGACTACAACTACTAGTGCTTCTGTAATCACTAGCAGTTTTGCCAAACGACGTGCGCACACTTTTTTTTATATATTCAATGCTTGCATTGTTGGATGTCACGAAAACGTGGCATGGACGTACGTGCCTTTTCCGCCTTATCAACTCCCGCTTGTGGTGGTTGTAGTATCGGTCGTAGTCGTCGTCGCAGCCGTAGTCGTAGTCGCAGTGGTATGGGCAGTGGCAGTGGTAGTGACAATGAGAAGGGGGCAAATCATCGCAATCTTGATAGCAATCGTGGCAGAGTAAAGCAAAAATCAAGAACAAAGCAGCAATGATGACAACACTGCGAGTGGCAATCATGGTAGTGTAGTGACGAGTAGTGTCAGCGCGGATGCGCGAAGTTATGCCAAACGACTATATCGCCGCCAAGACGTGTAGCCCCACATTTAGCAGCCGTTTCTTGGTTCACATGGCAGGTGATGCAGAACCAATTCACTGCGCTGGCGGAGAGAATGAACACTGGGGAACTTTGCTCGGCTACCATAAGCAGCGCAACGGGCATCAGCACAAGCCTTACCTCTCAGGTGTCGAGCCTGCAGCGGCAGTGTGAGGTTGACAGGTCATGCCGGCCAGTGCACCAGCAAATTGCAGCAAAGGCATCATGAAGCTGGCTTGAGGTTGCAATCCGTGGCTTGCATCTTGAGATTAAACATGTCCTGGACTGCCTTTCGGCTTAAACGAAAATGTAGAAGATGCAAAGGCTCCCATGGGGGGATGAGGCGCTTCCCGACGAAGTGCATGGCTTGATATCTTCAACCTCTTCAGGGAGGCGACCCCCCAAATGCCGATCGCTGACTGACTGGCTGCTCGAGGGCATCGGGAGCTCGTTGCCGCCGTTGCTCCTTGCTCAGCAGGTTGTGTCCAAGAGTGGTTTATGTTTTCAGGTTGTAGGTGCCTGTAGTGATTGATGTAGTGTCGCAGCAGACGCAGTGTTGCCAGGTACCGGAGCCAGTCACTGCCGGCAGGCTACAGCTTCCGCTTCGCACCTGCAGTTGGTCAGATCGTCTTGTATCATGATTCAGGTGTGGTCATCTGCGATCGGGTAATTCAGCGGATGGTGTGTTCCTGTGATCGACCTCACCTATCCTTCCAGTACGGGTCGGTCCAGATGTTCTCCTCGCGGAACACTGACTCCAGCATAGAAGTCAGCAGTGACGAGCCGAGTAGTTGGAGTGGCCGGCACTTCTGCTCCGATGCCGTGGTGGGCTGCATTGCTGTCACACTGCCATGCCCAGTGACCGCTGTCCGCGGCCCAGGGGAAACTTCCTGGCCCAACACCACCAAGGCCACCCCAAGGGCCCAAAGGGCCATTGTAGTGGCTGTGCCGAGCCAGGCGCCACGAAGGCCGAAGGCACGTGGTTTGCAGATTTGTCTCGCGCGGGGAAATGTGGCAGCGTTTGATCATCTACTGGAAGCAGATGCAGCGGCAGCTTCAAGGATGTTACCTGACGGCACGAAGCCTTTGAGCTTTGCAGTTGATTTGCTGAGGAAGTCTGGGGAGTCCAGCCGATCTTTCTCAGCACTGTCCACGATGATTCTGTCGCTCATTGAACACCAAGCGGACGTGAATGGCAGGGCACAGAGCGGAGAGCAGGGGGACACTCCCCTGCATGTGCTGCTACGCTTCCAGCCCGAGAGAGAGGTGGTTCAGCTGTGCAGGGCGCGCCTGGTGGTGGCCCTGCTGAGGGCGAAGGCAGATCCAAACGCTCTCGATGACTCTGGCGACTCACCACTCGTGGAAGCGGCAACAGCAGGCGACTTGGAAATGTGCAAATTGCTGCTGGAGCATGGGGCGGATGCCAAGCCTCCATGGTCCGGATTGGATCCGAAGGTTTCTTTGCTGCTGGAGGAGGCCTTGGCCCGCAAGCAGAACATGCTCTCACACCTGATCGCTTCAGGGCTGTCCTTCCTGCGACAGGATCCGGACCGGGCGGCTTCTTACTTTGCCGATGCATTGGCAATGGACCCCCTAAACCCTGATCTCCTCCTTGCGGCGGCCGAAGCTGAGTATGGGGCCGGCAATTTCTCTTCCGCCTACAATCATGCCAGCACCTGTGTGGCGATTGATCCGATGAATGGTCTGCCATATGCAATGTGTGCGCAGGCATTGTGGCAACTTGATCGGATGGAAGAGGCACTTGCAATAACGGATTTAACCCCGGATGGAGCAGCATCTAAGAAGAGTGCAGCAGAGGTCAGCGCGAGAATGTCGAAGCACTCGAAGTGTCTCAGTGCTGTGGAGGATTTTCTGTCGCAGAACTCGCACGCAGATCTTTGCAAATGTGACGAAGCAACACAAGATCTACAGTCTTTGCTGACAGATCTGACTCCCCATGAGCGGGCCTCTTCATGGGGCCTCCGTGTGAGATTGGCCTTTGTCAAGCTGTGCATTCTGCAGTCACAGCCAGAAAATGCAAGGCAGCACTGGACCGCACAAGCGTTGTCGGAAACAAAGCTGCTTAAGAAGACGCACAGGAGCTGGCAGGTCTTGTATTGGCACGCGCGCGCTCTACTTCAGGCAGGCTGCCGCGAAGATGCCAAGAGCACCCTGCGCTGTGCAACCCAGCTGCCTGGTGGTGAGGACTCAACCACGAGCAGCTTCCTCAACACCTTGATCAAGGCGGAGGCGCTGCAAGCCGAGGGGGACTTGGCTGCCAAGCAGAGTTGCTGGGACACGGCCCTACAGCGTTATGAAGATGCAGAGGATGGTGCCGCGTTCGATCCAGACTTTCATGCCTTGCTTCTGGCAGAGAAGGCGATGGCCAAGCTTATGTTAAAGCGCCGCGAGGAGGCTTTGAAGGACGTATGTGCTGGTCTCAACATCGTCTCCAGCTTCGCAAGGCTTTACTTTGTCCGCGGACTGATTCACATGGACCTGGGGATGTATCCTCAAGCTGCAGCGGACTTTGACCGGGTCGCAGCCATTGATCCTAAGGAAGTGCCTGGGGAGCTGCACGAAAAAGCCCGCCGCTGGGCCCTGGCCCCGCCGGTAGAAGACCACTACGCGGCTCTGGGGGTTTCGAAAACCGCCACCGACAAGGAGATTAAGAGGGCCTACCGCCTTGCCGCCCTGAAGTGGCATCCTGACAAGAACGTGGGCAACGAGCTCCTGGCAGAGCAGGTCTTCAAGCAGATTCAGGCGGCCTTTGATGTGCTGTCGTGCGAGGCCTCTAGGAAGGCCTATGATGACTATCCTGGTGATCGCAAGCCTTTTCAGTTTCCTTCACCTGCAACAACAGTTCCGTGCCCAAACGCTTCATGACATGCCCAGACATGCGCAGACTCTGTAAAATTTGATGTGCAGTGTTGGAAGAGCCATGGGACCACCAGAGCCCCCAACCTGTCGAACAGCGAGAGCCTTGACAAGTCCGTTCGAGAAGCACAGCAAGCACCTATGCTATGGTGTCTGATCGCGATCCCTGCTCAACAAGACTCAACAAGGCATGACCGATGGGCTCAACCAGCTGCAACAGATGGTGCAGTGCCCTATACCCCGGCAGAGCCTCGTTGCCGAACTCAAGATCTGGAAAGGTATGCAGCTGGGATGGCTTCCCCGATGGGCCAATTCTCAGGGCCAGATGCTCACACACGGACTCTGTGCCTGCAGTAGCAGCGCTATCCTCAAAGGAGCGTGGCATTTTCACCAAGTATGTTCTCCAAAGGAGACAAGGAGAAGCCGCATGACACAACTCGGACAATCTGAGGAAACGGGGTGTGTAAGTTTTCTCGTGCTAACACGCCGACGAGCGTGCGGTTTTTGGAGGGCTTTTTGGTGCGGGCTTTTTGCGGGCTTTTTGAGGGTTTTTTGAGGGTTCTGGGTCTCCCCGCAGTCCAACAGTTGTCAAGAAGAGTGCCGTGCCAGGCGTCGCTTGGCCCAGCTGGAGAAGAAGTTGGAGGAGAGCTTCTGCTGGTGTGTTGCAGTAGTTTCCCTAGACCTAAAACCTGGCAGGTGTACCTCTTATCCCTTTTCTCCACATCGTTTCCCGCACTCTGCGCCCAGCACCCCAACCACAGGGGCGGACCTGGGGCCGGTAAAGCCTTCTTGACTCTACCGAACCATTTTGTAAGCCGAGGAGGCACGCACACACGCAAGGATCACACTTTGACACTTTGAGGGATGGCGCTGCAACCAACAGGCCCAGTTGGACGATCGTGCTGACAAACATGATGGCCGAGTTCGTGCCTCAGCCAAAGCATGTAGTGCATCCACTACGTGGCCCTGATGTCTAGGAGCGCTGGGCAGAAGTGCAGGGAAGCGTGAACGGCCTCATCGAGGCTTTAAACCCGTTTCAGAATCTAAGGGTTGCTTAAGCGGCTTGCGAATGCAGAGGAAACACAGGCTCTTGCTCGACGGGTGGATGGTTTGGATGAACGACTCTGGACGCGCACGAGCGGGCAGGGCCCAGAAACCATGGCATCCCATCAGTGTGGCATCTTGCGCTTCACCGGCTTCATGCGGCAGGTCGGAAGTTTCCAAGCAACGGAACCGGGAACTCGAGCAGCAGGCCGCGCACTGAAAATTGAAAAGTGCCTCCATGCACTGTTTTGAGAGTTTGTCACCATCTTTGTCACGGATTTTGTGAGGTTCAAGCTCTGGAGCAGCAAAATCGGCTCGCGGCAGCTGCCGCGGAGGAACCTCAGCAGTCCTTGCCTTGTGCATGTTCTCGATGTTGTCCTTCGCTCCCTTCGCTTTCTGGATCACTCCCCCTCTGTCCTGCGCGCGTGCACTGCATACTTTACAGCGATGCAGGAGACGCAGAAGCGACAGGTGCTCTTCTTACCTTGCACTCACTTTGCGCCCCGATACAGATGTCGTTGTGCTACTCGAGGCCACAAAGATTCGTCGCGCAGAGCACTCCCTTGAGGAGGTGCAGCATACTTTGTATGTAGCCACATTGCCTCATGCAGAGCTTTTGCTCAACTGCCAGGTTCTGCGACGTATGGCCACCATGGAGGACGAGGCAAACCAGGGGACCCTGCAAAGCAGGGCTCACAGGGCTCAGGTAGCGGCATCCGCCAGGTACGACAAAAGAATGCCACCCAAAGAGATGGCTACATTGAGGACACTGGGCCCATCACGACCCTTGGGATGTATTTCTCTGGCAGCTTTTTGTGGAGACCCGTGCAGGCCAGGGTGAACAGTTTGGAGCAGACGCAGGTTCAGTCCCAAGATGTGAGATGATGCAAGCCGTTTAGGTGGGTCTCGGACTGAGCACTGAGCAAGATTCCACCTGCGACTGGAGGAGGCGCTGGACGCAGACATACGCGCTTTGCAGGACGCGGCCGAAAGCATCCCAAGTGTCCCATGCAATACGAATAATACGATGCGTGGGTTGATGGACATGGCGTCGCCCGGGTTTGCGTGGCTCCAGGCCAGTCTGGAGGATGGGCTCCAGATACGCGACGCTGGGCAGGCCTTTGTTAATGTCTGCGGTGCATCCGTAAGCCCTCAACCCCACTCCCAGATGGGAGCCGCCACAGACAAACAATTTGCTTGTTCTAGTGGTGTTCTATGGTGTTCTCGCGAAAGCTTCATGACTGACGTTCAGCATGGAGGTTGCATGGGTATCTCGGCATGTGACAGGAAGGTGCCGACTTGCAGGGGGCCGACATCTTCGAGGCAAATGCCGAGGGCTGGGGCAAGCAGGGTTGAGGGATTGCTGCTTTATTTCAAGGCGATCCGCAAGTCGGAGATGGGCCTTTCCGCACTGGACCGGAAGGTGCCATGTGGCTGCTGGTGGTTTGTTACGATGAGTATTCCTGCAACTTTGTAATAATTTATGGTTAGTAACTCTTATTGTGGCAAGACTTTTCATCCGTATGTACAAATCAATGAGAGTTTGCCAGGTGAGCAGCCAAGTGGAGGAGCCGTGTGGGCATGTGGGTACCAGCGGGTCTGTACCATATCTTTTCGGTTCAGGTCATTCACATGGTTTAGGTTTTTAGCGTTTTAATGCTTTTTAGGGTTTTGTGTGGATGTTCGGCCTGGAAGTACACAGACATTGCAGTCCAGGTGTCATCTTCCAACCGAAGACGTCTTGCAGTCCAGCATTGGGGGTTTAGCTGGGCCCGGCCATGTCCACGACATACCAGTCTGGGGCTGAAAGAAAAGCTGTCGTCCTCTCCAGCCCAGATGTGCAGGACCTTTCCTCCTCCGTTGCCAGCCTCCGTGTCAAAGTCGACGGCTTGCTGAGCCGAGCAGATCCCTCAAAAAGCAGCAGTGCCACTCGCAAGCCGCCATTGAGTTGATGCTCTGTCTGAAGAGGTGGGCGGCTTGGCCGAGCGCATCGAAACGGCTCATGAGCCACGAACCAAGATTGTTTTTTTGTGCAGCACTTGGATGTGGCTGTGTTTCTGACATGAAGGCCGGCGATCGAGTCACTGCGCCTGGAGTTATCACAGGCTTGGACCCATGATGCTGGTTTTTTGGTACCGCAGTAGCCGTCGCAACACAGCGTGTGGAAGCTTCTTGCACAGATCTTGCAAAAGACAGCACGTATTTTGTTGGCCAACGGAGGGACGTGTGTTTGCCAACCGATCGTATGATCAACAAGTCAATGTGTGTTCTGTCGTGCCGCTCTGCCAGCAGGCCCGGCAACAGGAGCGACGCGAATTTGACACAGAGCTGCAGACTCTCAAGAATCGGTTGCAACAGGCGCAAAATTTAAGGCATTTGTCCTGCGAATGATACACCTGCAGCAGAGAGGCAGGGAGTAGCGCAAGGAAGCTGCTTGGCAGGCACAAGAGTCCAATGAAGAGGCGTGTGGCGAGCTCCGTGAGGCTGGCCTTGCCAACATTGCCAAAGATTGCCAAAGCTACATTCAACAATACCTCCAAGGCCCTTCGCCAGAGCCGCTCAGAGGTGGCGGCGCTGAGTTACCGGCCAGACATCCAGCAGGACCAGCTGAGCTTTTGCCTGGATTTGGCCATCCTGATTGGCTATAATGGTCGTCTAGCCATGAAGCCATGACATGAACATTCATCTCACACCCAGTGCATCTACGCAGAGGGAGCCTTGCAAGAGATTTCCCCTTGCTTCCCCCTCCCCACCACACATGTCCAAGATTGATTCTGAAGATCTTCAAGTTCTTGCGCAGGACAACTCTTGGATTCGCAACGCAGAGGAAAGACTTGCCGGACATGAGCAGGACCATCACGAAGAAAAACCGTTCTAAACAACTTGCTGATCGCATACTCACTGCTTGTTGAAGGACCTCTACGAGTTGCGAGAACGTCTCGAACTGGTGCAGGCTGAGCGTAGGCCAAAGGTCGCTGTGCAGGTTGGTGAGACAGCCCTCTGACAAGGCAGATGCCTCATTGGACGGCAAGGCAGCGCTGATGAAGCCCGCGGAGGTGGCTCGAGCGTGGCAAACCTGAACCCCGTGGCTCATCGCTCTGCACCTTATTGCACCTTCTTTTGCACCCTTTATTGCACCCTTGTATTGCACCCTTGTATTGCACCAAATATTGCGCTGAAGACTGCAGGACTTTGATGACTTCCGTCGGCGGCTGGAGTGGTTGGAGGTGCTGGAAGTGAGCACTTGGTGACATGAGATCCTTCAACTCGCGCTGGTGAGGAGCATGGTGCTGCTGCCAGCATCTCGGAGGCGACCTCTGCTGTTTGCAACTGACCTTTGCGCCCATCCCAAGGCAGCAGACAAGTCCGACTCCAGCAGAATATCACAGGCCGAAAGCTGACGAAAGCTGACGAAAGCTGATTGTTGCGGTGTCAAGACTTGCGGTGAAGGTCCAGAACAGCGTCTGTGACCTCGTGGAGCAGGTCTCAAGGCTCAAGCAGCAGGCAGCGGCTTGGTAAATGCATCGATTCACTTGGGGTGGGAAGGGCTGCAGCATGCTGCAACTCCGCAAGGCAGCCTTGAGCGCATTCAATTGCCAGCTTCGGCCTGTGCCAGGCTGCTTCTTCAGAGGCGAATGCCACCTCCTGGCAGCAACAGGCTGTTGATTGCCGGATGGAAGCAGCCAAGCAACCTGTTTGAAACCGCGGCAGTGCTGCCGATCTTACTTGGCGGACTCTGAGCAGGTGAAGCAGATTCATAGCCGGACACTCAGATACATACAGATTCACAGGACGACAGGTGCTGGCTCTGCGAATCTACTCCTGCGACCTACCATGTCCGGGTGAGTTGTGATCAGGCCTCATTGAAAGAAGACAGAGTGAGGATTCAGCATCCATGCGCATCACCAACGAGGTGCGAGGGGATGTGTGTGGGGCTTTTCTGGGTTTGCCGATCCAAGCCGAGCCTTCAAGCTCTCTGTGTGTGTGCGCAGAGGTGGAGGCGAAGGTCGGGGCATTGTCCGCACAAGTCGCCGACATGGCGGCAAGAATGCTGGAGGCGCGAGAGTTGCGATGTGCAACTGCGCGCAAATCCACATGCAAATCCCAAACATGTAGCTGGCAGCAGGTGGAGGGCAACTTGGATTTCGTTCGAGAGAACGATTTGCCGGCCGGGCAGGCAGGAAATCAGCCTAGCCTGTCGCCTATGAAGTTCAACACCGCGCAGAGTGCCGGGTCTGTAGAAGGCTGGCACGCCTGAGCGTGCCACGGAGAATGAGGCCAGCAGCTTCCGCCGCAGTTTTCAATCGCGTGTGACTGCAAGACCATTGCGCCTTGAACGGTCCCATGTGGAGTCAGGCACCCGGCCAACCTAGCGCACTGCAGGCACGTGGGGTTTCTTCAGTAAGAAGAATCGTTCGCGTTTCGTAGATTTCGTTGTGGAGATCATGGTTTCCAATCAGGAGAAGCTCGAGGCTGTTGCCGAGCACTTGGAGGTAGCCGTGGCCTGTTTCGAAGTCGTAGACGAAGGGCCTGTCTGCAAGTTCTGATTACCCTTCACATAGATCCCGACGTGCTGAGCTATGCTGTGTGTGGTTGCGCGGCAGGTTGTGGATGACTTGTCAGATCGCATTGCGGAGCTTGAACGTCGCTTCAGCACCGGTCGGTCACTCTGTGATTGCTAAAGGCTTGTCCCCATCGTTCTCCGCGTCCTTAGGCCCGGACTTTCACCCGATGGGCAGCTCATCCCCTGGACCAGTGTCCGAGGTGGAGCTGATGTTGGCGGTTTGTTTTTTGATGTTTTTTCGAAGTTTGTCTTGTTCCGTGTGCTTAAGAGGATGCTGAAGAGGATGCTTGAGACGCCGTGCAGTGACAGGTCAGCTTTGGAGGAGAAGCGCCCCTGAAGGCCTTGGCCTTCACCAATCTTCACAGCATCGTGCCCCTAACGCGTGTTTTGCGCAGGGAGCAGCATGACCATGCTGACGTTCTCACCATAGTGACATGCACCTGTGACTATGTTGACCCAGGTTGCAGCTGGTCCTGCAGACGCTGTTGCCGGCCAGCCTGAGCCTTATCAGATCGGCGACGGCGGTGCTCCCTTGCCTTTGTGCCTGCAAACTGCGGTTTTTCTTCAAGGCTGGGCGAGCTTCAGCTTCGAATGGACGCCATTGACCTGAAGATGAAGTCTGTCCAGGAGGCCGCCATCGCAGGATTAGGATGCAGGCGAAACCTGGCCTCGGTTTCTCCTGGCTGTTGGGGGAGGCTGCTGCGCTGAAGCAAAGCAAGCCTGATAGGGAGGCACATCATCTGCGATTCATGAGGGTAAGAGACTTGACTCTGGAGAATTTTGTACAGGCGGAAGAGAAGCTTGAAGCATTGAAACACGAGTCCTCGCCTGGATGTTGCAGGGTAGATAGGGTAGTACAAGGATTGATTAGGACATCACTAGGCTTCCATTGCCCTGGAACTGAGGCTCAGCACGCTGACCTCGCGCCTCAGTGCTGCGGAGCTCCAGCTGGGTTCCGCCAAAGAGGCTCCGAGGGACACAAGCCTTGGGAGGTGCTAGCTTGTTGGCAGGAGATGCTTAGGATGCTTAGATCATAGAGCCGCAGTCATGTTCAGAGGTTTAAAGGAAGGCAGCCCGGTCCAGCCTCGCCATGGCCGCAAGGGCACTCTCGGGCACATCGCCTGAGTTTGCCCATGCTTCCCTGTCAGACTCAATGGTGTGTGTGCTGCACCTACGTGCAGAAAAATCGTTGGGGAGGGGGGCGCCAAGGAGAGTTTTGCCATCGGACTTCATAGCAGATATGAACAGGAGAGGAATGGGGCCCATTTGGGGATCGGGCCCTTCACGTCTACACTCTAGAGCCAGACATGACGCAGCGGAGCTTAGTGTTTTCTTCGCCAGCAGACACGCACAGGAACACTTCCACGTGCAAAAATCCCACAGAACAAATCAATGAAGAACAGTTATTTTTTTGTGCTCACTTGTTGGCTCACTGCGGGCACTCGTTCTTTCACTTCGTTCCCGGGGTGAGATGATTATGAAAATTCTGCTGATGATTAAGGCCCGCGGGTATAATATCGTTAAGTTGTGATCTTATTCAGCGCTCTTATCACACTACTTTTGCTCACTAAGATCGTTCGCTTAGAGTTATTGGGCGGCCAATAGGGCCACGATGACCACTAGGCTTGCCGTGACTGCTTGCCGCGGTAGTTCAATATCCAGGCGGTGAGTTGTGGGGACAGTATGGGACAGTCAAGCTCCTTTTGAGAGGCAGCTTCTGAGGTGGAGTCCCTGCGCAAGGAGCCCTCCTGCACCCTTCTTGTGCTTTCCGGCCCTGCAATGCTGCAACTTCCGTTGTGCTGTTCAGGAGGTTGCCAGCAAGACCGAGGCCCCGGCTGAGTTGGCGGCCTTGCGCTCGGAGCCCTTGGCTGCAAGAAGATCTTCAACCGTCCCTGGCAGCTCTGACACAACTCCTAAACGGTACATCAGTGCTGGCATGAAGAGAAATCAAAGGGGTTCAACCAGACTTCGAAGGAGTTTCTGGACAAGCTGGCGGAGTGCCATGCGGCGCAGGACGCCCCTTCTGCTCTTGTGAGGTGACGAGGAAAAGAGCTTCGGAACTAAGATCCAAAGGACCAGTCAAAACGATCAGCCGCCACGGCAGCCACAGATGTCAAGGAGGCTCGTGGCCGAGAAGCTGATGAAGTGTGCAGTGTTCTGTTATGCCCGATGAAGGGTCGCCCAAGCCTTCTCCCATCGATCATATCTAGAACGTGTTTGACTCATGACAATTTTCCTTTACTCCGGATCCATAGCTGGCCGCATCGTTGTGGGTTTCAACGGGTCCTCGGAGCAAAGTTTGCGATTGCACAGAATCCCGCCCCCACCCCCCCCCAAGTTGCCTGATAGCCCGAAGTACGCGATTGAAAACCTTCGCTCACGCGGCAGCTTGTTCTGGGGCACCATGAAGCTTTGCTCATCAGGTCCGGGATGACGTGGTCCTTCTCTCTGAGAAGGCACACTTGGTGTCGCTGAAGGTGAAGGTTGCTCAAGCCAAGCGGGAATCGAGATCAGGTTGATGCCACCCTAGAGGACCTGCAGGAAGGGCTGACAGCTGCAAAGCAAACCGTGGAGGCCTGCGTTGCAAAGCTCGTCTCGCCAACTCGTCATCTGCTGCCCCAGCTCGCATCATGGGTCAGGCGGTGATGGCGCCCATTAAGCAGGAGCTGAAAGAACTGCTGAAGCCTCAGGGACTGCAGGGACTGCAGAGTCAACTTCCGTTGCCACTTGCCCCCCCCCACAAGTCCTTTCCTGTTGAGCGAAGACTTGCCAGGCGAAGCAGGTTGCCGGATGCTGATGCAGAAGCAAGTGCCGAACAGGCACTGCTGGAGAAGTTGGAAGAGGCGGTCGAAGTTGCTTTTTGTTAAAATTGTTGATTCTCTGTCATTTGCCCGCAAGACTTTCCAAGCTTGAGCAGGTAGAGCGGAAGATGAGCGACATGCAGGCTGCAACATCGAAGGCATCTGCTGTGAGCTCGGAGGCTCGACGGCAAGATGACGCAAAATGCAACAAAGCAAAGATAAGCAAAGCAAGACAGCCAGACATTGTGTTGCTCTACAAGTTCTTGAGGCTCCCGCCGTGAAGGATGGCCTTGAGGTGGCTCTTCACATGCATGGGTTGCGCGAGCACCTGGGAGGGAGCTTCTCACGCAGGAGAAGCTCTTGGAGCTGCAGACAGCCTTCGCGAGGCGGAAAGCGGCAAAGCTGAAGCCTTGACTCCCCCAAGCTGAGCTGCATGTTTGAGCTGAAGGATTGAGCAAGCAAAGCCTGACTGCATCGATGACACGGTCATTGCCGCTCGCCTGCATGGATCCTTCTCGGTGCTAGACACAGACGGGTCTGCGCAGAAGTTCAGCTTTTCACCTCCCTCGACGTGGGTGTCTGGGGCAGGAGCCTAGCTGCGGCAGCTGTGGTCGGACCTCTAGGGATATATGCGGGTTTTCATTTTGTTTTAAATCGCTGCGAGCCGCCCTCCGCCCAGCACACAGAGGCTTTTAGGATTTAGGATGTTAGGCATGCAGAATTCCAAAGATTGTCCTGAGAGGGTACGTGGCTAGTGCCAGGGGAGGGGGTCATGGTCAGTCAACGGCCCAGACCGGGGGGCAGGGCGTGGGAGGGCGTGGGAGGGCGTGCCCCAACCCGAATAGGGTCACGATTTTCAGCGAGAGTTGTTGTTTGACAAGTCTGCAAACTAAGCAAAAAACGGGGGCGAGGGGGGTGGTGCCTGGGGAGGGGATTTAGATGAGGGGAACCAGAAGGTGCTGTGGGAACTGTGATGCCTCATGGTGAGGCGAAAATCTTCGGATAAATCATGCGTCGAGAACCAAGGAACCCCCTGCTCTGCCGTGGTCTCTCTTGTTTTTCTTTGCCATAGCCTCAAAGTAGAAGGCAACAAAGCTACAGTAGCTTCTTGGAGCTTGCGGGGTTTTTGTACAAGCGTCTTGTTTTTCGGCCAAACAGGACTTGGGGGGACCTTTGGCCGGATGTCTTAGGGATTTATGGTGAACCCATGATTCACCCACCGTGCCCTACCCCCCAAATTATACCACCAAAAACCAAAATTCACCCATAAGAAATCCTTGATTCACCAAACCCACACAAATTCACCCACCAAAACCTGGTTCACCCACGAACATCGCACCACAAACCGACGAAAATCATACCCATATCATACCCCCAAAGCTGGGGATTCTCAGGGTAGGAGGGGCAGAGAGGGGCAGAGAGGGGCAGAGAGGGGCAGAGAGGGGCAGAGAGGGGCAGAGAGGGGCAGAGAGGGGCAGAGGGGTTTTAGGCTTTTAGGGTTTAGGGTGTTTAGGCGTCGGGTGTTTACGGTTGTTTTTTAGGGTTTCTGTCTTTAAGGGATAGGTTTTTAAGGGTTTGGCTTGTTTTGAGGTTTAGGGTTTTTAGGGTGAAGTCTTTGGTTTGTGAGGGTGTTTAGGGTGTAGGGTTTTAGTTGTTTTTTTAGGGTTTATTTTTTTCAGGGTTTAAGGCTTCTGGGGATAAGGTGGTTAGGGTCGAGTGTGTTTTTTTAGGGCTCACGTTGTTTGGGGATTAGGGTTTTCAGGGTTTAGGCTTGTTTTGGGGGCGACGGTTTCTAGGGTTAGTTTTTGTTGAGGGTTTTGGGGTTTAGGGTTTTTAGGGTTCAGCGTTTGTAGGGCTTAGCATTTTTAGGGTTTATAGCTTGTGGAATAAGGTTGAGTGCTTCGGGTTTGAGTTTTTTTAGGGTTTATGTCATGTGGGTTTAGTTTTTTGGGGGGTCTAGGGTTTTTAGGCTTAGTTTGTTTAATTCAGGGTTCAGGTTATGTCATGTGGCTTTAGTTTGTTGGGGGGTCTGGGGTTTTTAGGCTTAGTTTGTTTAATTTAGGGTTTAGTGTTCTCAGGGCTTAGTGGGTTTAGGGTGTCAGGGTTAAGGTCACTAGGGTTTAGTGTTTAGGGTTTTTGAGGTTTATGTTTCTGTTTTAAGGAAGTAGGGTTTTTAGGGTTTAGTTGTTTTTTGGGTCGAGGGTTTCTTCAGGTCTAGGGTTTTCGTTGAGGGTTTTTAGGGTTTAGGGTTTTTAGGGTCTAGTGTTTTAAGGGTTTAAATGTTTCTTTTTTAAGTTTAAGGTTTAGGGTGTTCAGGGTCCTTTTTTCTTTCTGGGTTTAAGGTTTAGGTTTCTTGGGGCTAGTTTTTTGGGATTGCGGGTTTTAGGGTTTTGGGTTTTACGGGTTTAGAATTTAGGGTGTTTGGGTTTACATTCTTTGTGTTTAGGGCTATAGGGTAAGAGTTTCGGTTTCAGAGTTTAGGGTGTTAGGTTTACTTTTAGTGTTGTTCAGCCCTTTAGGGCTCACGAGTTTCAGAGCGTTAAGGGTCATTAGAGCTTCAAAGGTTTTAGGTCTTCGCTTTTGGGGGCCTTAGGGTTTTCAGGGCATTTATTGCTTCACAGGTATTAGGATTTTTGGACGGGCTGGGAGGGTTTCAGAGTTTTCTGGGTTTTTCAGGGTCAGGCTTGTCGGGCAGGGTTAGGGTAGCAACCTATAAAGGGGGGGGGGAAGGGAAGGGTGGGTGGGGTGGGGCTTCCTCCCCCCTGCCCCCCCCGGACAACCGCAGGGTCTGCAGCTTTCGTCAACGTATTGCAGCAGCATTTCCGCAAGAACCGTAAAAGTCCGAGTTCTTTGCACGCTGGCCGCGTGCCCCTTTCGGGGCCCTTGCTTTCCTTCGCCCTGAACTCAAGTTGCTGTGTTTTCCATCACAAGCAAATGGACTACATCACCTCCACACACACACACCTGAAGACTATTGGGCAGGGGCCTTTATGAGAAGCCGCGTTCCAACTTGGACCCGTGGATCTTTGCAACATTGGAGCCTTTTTTTTGATACCGGGCTCCCCGCGAGAGGGGAAACACCAAGCGTTGTTTGGGGGCTTTGGGGTTTAAGGCTTAGGTTTAAGGGTTGTAGGGTTCTCGGGCTTAGCCCGCCCGCACATACGCGTGCAGCGTACACCCACGCGCACGCGCACAGGCAGACTTAGTTTAGGGGGAGGGGTTATGCAGCACCATACACTGTCAATCTTGGTCAGTGAATGTTCTCCGGGCGGTACAGCCAAGGTCAATCGGCTTGATGCACTGGACAAGCGCATGAACGAGGCCCTTGCGGGGTGCCTGCGCCTGTTGAGATCGGACGTTTGGGCCTTCGTGCTCAGAGGACCTCCAGCGGAAAGTGGACAAGCTCGAGAAGTACCTAGAAGAGGAGCCGAGCGAATGTGGTGCTGAAAAATGTTGGCAAGAATGTGCACGTGGACTCGATCGTGTCGCTGTAGACAGGAGATTGATGCCATCAAAGACCGAATCAAAGAGGAGGTTGCTCGCCAAGTGGGCGGCTTCATTCCATGTGATCTTAAAGTGCCGACAGGTCGCGGGCCTGGGCAAGCGCTTGGATGCTGCCTTAGTGCTCGCCTCAGAGGGCCACAGCTTCACTCTTGGATTCGGTACCCCGTAGCCTCTTCCAGAGTTTGTGAGAGCACGCAAGTGGGTCAGCAACAAGCTTCAGCTGTCATCGAATTGGCTGCTAGTGGGTTGTGATTGTCGCGTTCGTGCTTCTCTTTCGACCTCTCTGCCGCTTGCCAACAGTGCTTCTGGTACTCGTAGAGTGGGATTTGGTGTGGCGATGGTCGAAAGCAGCTTGGCATCTCAGGCGTCAGTGCGTTCAGCGCAGCAAGACACTTCAAAGCAGGCGGAAGGGTGTTTGGGAGGGATGTCTTATGATGTCTTGCTTCTGGTGATGCGTTCATTCTCAGGATATTGCAGGATGCAACCCTTACTTGCAGCCCACCACGTCTTGATAGGAGCAGGACCAGCTGATGCAGCAGCTGACTCGGTGGCATCGCGCCCTTGGGGAGATTTGCGAAGTTGCTTCTGTTTTGTTTCTTCTTGCAGCCGAGGATGGAGGAGCTTCAGCGGCGGCTTCTCGAGGTGCCTGCGTAGACCTGCACTGGACGTGTGGAATCGTCCTAGGAACTTGGGGAAGCTCTGCTGGTCTTTATCTTCATGTATTTTCAACCAAACGAGTCTACTCCCCACGGTTGAGAGTTGGATCCCAGCTTGCATGGCAGCTGCCGGAAGTCACCGTGGCCCCTGCGGACTTTGCAGAGCCGTGGCTTCAGCACCGCCCAAGTGTGGAGTACTTGTAGAGTCATCGAGTGAGTTGCCAACCAACAGAGAAGGCGCGCACTCGCGTGCGCGCGCGCGCGCGCGGTGCGCAAGTGCGCCTCCCAGGTTGAAGGAGCAAGTGAAGCAGGTGGAGCTGAAGGTCTCATCAGGCCGGGTGTTGAATCACTCCTTGGAAACAACTTGAATGGAGAGCCACTACGGTCTTTTGTGTTATTTTGCTGTAGTTTACGATGTATCACAAGGATGCTGCCTTTCACTTGGGAGATCTTTATGGAAGGTCTCGGTGCGAGCTTCGTGCCTAGCTCTGGCGGAACCGATGCTGCCGAGGTGCGGTGCCAGCTGCTACTTGACGACGCATCACGTTACTGTTGCGCAGATCATGCTTGTCGGTGCATAGATGCAAAGGTGTTACCAAAAATATGGTGGTGCACGAACCTCATAGACCTCGTAACTTACGCCACCCCTGCGCAAATTCAATAATTCACAGTGCTGATGCACTTGAGCCCCGACTCACGCCTTTGGTAGACACGGCTAGACCAGGAACACATCTAGTGAATTTAGTGAATCATGGAACACGTGGATGGGCTGCAGAATGTTTGCAGGACACGAAGCTTCGAGCGCAAGTCCAGCAGCAGGCGGGCTGCCCAAGCGACTCGGAACCCTCGCGCAGCCAGAAGTGGAGGGGTCAGAATGGTTTTGTTCTCTTCTGCAGTATGTGGCTAGGTTAGATTCCATATCATTCTGTTCTCCTCCGGAATACTAATTATGTCAGACGGGATTCTGTCAAATACTCTCCAGCACACCGGACCTAAATCCGCCTCGTGCCTAAGCTCCCCAAGCACCCCCCCTCGAGCACGGAGAGGCCATCTTCTGCGCAACGCGATTCAGGGTTTGGGATTCAAAGATGGGGCACGAGAGGCTTTCTGCTCTTGGTGATCGCAATCTGGAGGCGAAATGCCATGCCAGCTGTGGTAGTTGAATTAGCCGAGCTGCATGCCATCAGTTTGCCGCGGGAGCTCATCTTTGCATCTCCCCCAGCCCACGATCCTGGGCGCAGAGCTGTAAACCCGAGGCCTTAACCCCGAAACCCCTAAACCCATGCTGCTAGAACGAAATGCAGGATCGAGGAGCCTGCTCAACCCTTGTCCTAGGCAAGTGATCTTGGTGGCAGGCCTTGGCAGAAGGATGCCATTTCTTCAAGAGGCTGTTGCTGCTCTTTCTTCTTCTGCATCTTCCATATCTCCCTGGTGGTGCTGTGCTCATCATCTCAGCCCATGCAAAATGTTTGCATCTTCAATCTTCTGAGACTGGAAGAAGACCGAGCAGCAGCTGGCCTCAGTCTGGAAGAGGGTGATGAGTGATGAGCAAACGCAGATGATCCCGATCGCTCGGCGCCATGGATTCGTCATCCCGAAGGAGACTCCTCGAAAGAGAGGATTCTGGATCCAGAGCCGCCACCAGTGAACGAAGACAGCGCAACAGTCGCCCGCCCATAGGAAGGTGCATGTATCTTCAGCAGATCCCAGGAGATCTTGGAGGATGGTTGTTGGTTTTGCATGCGTATGTTTCTGCGGCCACTCGGCAAGGTTAGCGCAGAGTATGCGCACCCGAAGACACTCAGAAATCAGTCCGAGCATGACCCGTATAATCGTCAGTATCATGGTCCTGAAACTCAAAAGTCGATCCTTGTTGTATGCCTGGCTTCGGTCCTAGTTAGTGTCTCTCAGCCTCATGTCTGTGAGGTTGAAAGCCAATCATGGCTAGTAGACATTCGAAGTTCATTCCACGATGCTGGCCTTGGCGATTAGACATGCGGAAATGCGTGGTACGTGTAGAAAACAAGTCGGCGATCTGCAAGTCGTTGTGTGCTTGAAGGGTGCTCGGCAGGTCCAGGAGATGGCCGCCCAGCTGTCCAAGGAAGTGGCCAACTTGGTACGCCTCCGGCATGTTTTTCCGCGCGTCTCGCGAGTGAAGTGCTTTGTTGGACAGCTCGTACACCCCCGTCAGCAGGCATACCAGGGTCGTAGATGGGGATTCGGGATTAACGAGGCTTCCCAAACATCAACTCAATGGCCTTGTGCCAGGCGCAGCACCAGAAAGAGATCGTTGACACCAAGGCCACAGTTGAGGACCTTGTCGCGGCAGTCAATCATTCAATCATTGCCAGCATGCTTGTCAGCGCCCAGCCCACGTTACGAGGCCCCTTGCGGGAGCCATTTCGAACGGAGCCCTCGGTGTCTTTGAAAACTACGCCAGCCGGTTAATCTTTTACCATAAACAGCGCAATCGGCCCACACGCACCTCATGAACCTCACCGCCCGAGCATCTGGATACCGGCGGCGACACGCTGCTGCTCGATGAGTTGCAACGAGATTCCCTTTACGCTGTGAACCAATACAGACCTCTGACACAGCGTGATGCTTCGCACCACCTTCTCACCAAAATTAGGGCAGAAGAGCGCCTGACACAACCGAGAAGCTTCGGAACCATTGGGGTGTGCAAATTCCATTGGGGGGACTCTCAGAGGGAGCCTACTGGGTGAAACAGCGACGGTGTGGTGCCTGACCGTGTCATTGTAGCTTTCGACTCGAGTCCCCAACACCGCCATGGCCTGTCATTTTGGGTGTAGCTCCTAGGGCTTAGGGAAAAGGTTTAACCCTACTGAAAAGATGCACTTTCATGCTCTGGACGCCGACTTGCTTCGTGTACAACCCTGAAAGCCTGAATGCAAGTTGGCAGATGCATGCCAGGACTTGGCAACGCAACTCAAGGCGCACTCTGCCCCAGCGCGGGACGTGGAGGAGCGTCTTCTTGGTCAACACATCTGCGCTCGCTTTGCTCCAAGCAAAGTGCCAGCAGGCACACTTGAAATCTGGACGGTCTTGGCTGGTGACAGGACCTGGCAAGCCTGCGTACAGAATTCGCCGCGCTGGACTTCGCCTGAGGGAGCTACGTGTTTGGTATTGCCGGGGCAGTAGCCTGCGGAAGAGCGAGTATGCAGCTGAGGCTGATCGTGTTGCTTCGACCGAGACCAACTGCTCAGCAACAAAGAAGGAGCAAGCGGCTGAAAAGTAAAGAGAAAGTGGCGCATGCATCATGGACCTCTGAAAACCGGAGAAAACGTGCCGAAGATGCAGGACCTGGAGGCCCTCTTGGGCCCCCGCAACAAGATTGGGATCAGTCGCATCCTTGCAGCTCCTTGCAGCCAGGCATTTTTCCTTTCAGACTGCTGCCCAAGCTTCCAAGGCATGAGCTCTGGGAACGAGTCTCCCTTGGCAGAGGCTCTTCTCTCTCATGCCGCAACCTCCACAAGGCTGGCTGTGTGCAGCTACAAGAGCCCAGCACACTGCGAGGTGTGTGGTCGCCTGGACCTGCTGACGGAGCAGGCCAGGAAAAAAATATGGAAAAACTGCCGTCGTCTCTCCACTGCAGGCAGATGCCAATTGCTCTCGACTTTCTGACTACAGGTAGCAGAGCTCCAGAACAGGCCGGTGACCGCAGCTGCAGTTTCATCGCAAAGGTGACGGTGACGCCGCTTGCAGGCAGGAAGACAGCCACACCGGAAGCGTCGCCTTCATAGTTCGGGATGTGGACCTGCTGCTCACTCTTGCGCTGCAAGTTTTGCACATTTGTGCCCAGTGATTGCCCGAGGCTAGCCTGAAAGGAACTCGTAAAGACTCGGTAGCCGCTCAGATGAGTTTGTGGGGCACATGCAGAGTCGAAGAGTGTAAACCTCAAAACATTCCCAGTACGCGTCAGAATAATTGGAAAAGCGCAGAGTGTTTTCTTCGAGTCGGGTTGTGTGACACATTTGCAACATCTGATTGTAGCTGCAGTATGAAGTTGTTCGCCAGCCGAGGCCAGTGCAGATGGAAGCCTTGAGCTCGGGATGCGCATGTCTCCTTCCATGTGAGCTTTTCACTGCCGCAGGTCTCAACTTCTCACTGACGGAGCAGACGGAACGACCAGGCAAACGGCTGGAAGCTGCAAAACCATCCAGCAGCCCTCCAAAGGCCCTCCAGTGGCCCTGTAGCCCTCCAGCTCCTCGTCAGGCGCGCCGGGGGACAGCCTGAACTTCTCTCTGACGGAGCAGACCGCCAAGGCCTGGCCAAGCCAAATGCTAACCTTAGGGATTCTTGGGAGAATTTTGACGACGACACTAGTTCTTCTACTACTACTACTACTACTACTACTACTACTACCAGTACTACCAGTACTACGAGTACTACTAGTACTACTAGTACTACTAGTACTACTAGTACTACTAGTACTACTAGTACTACTAGTACTACTAGTACGACTAGTACTACTAGTACCACAAGTACTACAAGTACTACTAGCACTACTAGCACTACTAGCACTGGTACTACTAGTACTAGTAGTACTACGGTATTACTAGTACTTCCATTGCTACGCATACTACTAGTGCTACTGGTGCTAGTGCTTCTTGTTACTATTACCAAGACGACGACTCCTCCACTATTTATACACGTCATGACAGTAGTAACAACGGCGATTTGCTCACGGAGGGATTGCGCGAACCCCACAAGCCTAGGGCGACTTCTCTTCTTCGGAGCCCTTTGGGAAGCGACCCGCCGGCCCAGGCCCGGAGCCTTGTGCAAATCAAAAGCCGTCAAGGGGGTTGCCGAAAATAGGGGATCCCTACTATAGACTGCAATAAGGTACCCACCCTAAGTTCGGAAACCCCCAGAAGGAGGGTTGGAGCCGGGTGAGAGGGCTCTGCTCTTGAGCGCCTGAGGCATCAGCTTGGAGGCTGCGGAAGAGGCCAGACGCCAAACAGTGCAAATGGTGCAAAGAGTCAAGAGCAACGCAGAGGAGCCAACGAAACACGAGAACCCCTTGTAGGACTCAGATCTGGATGAAATCCTGTCCGCGACAGACTCCCCGCTTGGCGGAGTTGGGGCCTCGAACCGCAACCTGTTTCTGCAACAGTTTGTGCGCATCATGTGCAAGACCAAACGCGCAACTGCGGAGGTGCCGGGTCAACTGGCTGCAGGTGCTCTTAGCTGGGTGGCGCAGCATCACCATGAAGCAGCTGCTCTTTCTCTGTTAATCAGGTTTGGCAGAGCTTGGCTCCGGGAAGGTGGGGATAATTGCAAAAATGTGGCCGGAAAGCGTGCGGCTTTGATGTTGGAAGCAGCTTGGGTGTCAGGACAAAAGCGCCGACTCGAGTACGGCGTCTCAGTGTGCCACACGTTCGAGGTGTGTTCAGTGTAGGAGCAGTGACAGCCTGATGCCTACTAGGCCGGGCGTCCTCGACTTCAGACGGTCCCGGAGGCGAGAGAAGACACCGTTGTTTCACTGGGGCATATCTCGGGGGGGACATGACAAGACGAGAAGATTCCGTTAAGCGAACAAACGTTCGCAGCTCAGGGCGGCCGAGACCCGCTCCTCTGAAAACGGAGGAGGAGAAGTCCCTCCCAACAGTTGCGGAGGACTGGACCGGGATGACGCGACCGGACATGACTATCGGCAAATACTTGCAGTGAAGTGCCAGTGCAGCCTGCCCTGCAACCGCGGTCGGGTTGAGAAAAACGTAATCAAAGCTAAACATGCAAGCAAGCTTGGAGAGCTTCGGAGCAAGTTTCCAAAGCTTACGCGCTTCTAGGTTGGGCAGGCTCATGACACACTTCTGTGTGTCGCGAAGATGCTGCAAGATGTGGGTCAGATGGGTGGCCCTCTGCATGATGAGTCCTTTTGGTGGGTTCCCCTAATGCACGGCACCTGCTATTGAGGGTGCCCCAAGAATCGGATCATCCTTCTGAGACCTTAAACCTCAAGCCCTAAACCCGAAACCCGAAGCCAGAAATCCGTGAGGAGACAGAACTTGGCGAGCCTACGCCAACTTCCAAGGGCAGCACTTCCAAGGCCAGCACACCAGGCGCCCAAGGGGTTTTGGGGATAAGTTTTGCTTTAAGAAGGGGGAAAGGGGCAGTGTTGTGTTTAGGGTTTGGGGTTTTGTGTTTAGGGTGCGGAGCTGCAGTTGGTATTGTAGAAAAGAGTTGGTGTTGAAAGTTGAAGGGTCAATGTACCTGGTAATCTTCATGGCTCAAGACTGGGCCATGCGCCTGGTAGCAAAAAAGAGTTTCGAGTTCTTGGTGTTTGCTGGTTGGTTCAGGGTGAAACCTCTGGCGACTGTTAGGGTTGAGATTCTTCCCCTTCCCCTTTCGGTTGCCCCCCGTAGGTTATGAGCCCAAATTATGTTCCCTGCGGTTTGTGTTTCGGTTTTAGGGTGGTAGTTTGAAGCAATGGCTACCAACTGGTTACAGACTGGGGCGGCATCATCGAGCTCCAATGTGGGCGATCAAGGTGAAGGTGGTGTCAAAAGGTCTGCAACGGGTGAAAAAGTGGTTCCCAATGTGGAAGCTCTGGTTGATGCTGGTGGTATGCGTGGCGAAGAGAAGCCGGTGGTGGAAGGACTGGAAGACCAGATGGAAGCAGTTTTGCTGCGCCTTCTGAGCAAACATGGGCTTTGTCTTCGAGCTGCGGAACCTGCTGAATCAACAGGAGCGCCAAAAACAAGCTCCTCTACGTCAAAGATGGTGGAGCAAGAGTGCCAGACAGAGCTGGTTGGGGATGTTATCCCTGTTTCCAAGCGAGCTCGCAATAAAGTGAGCTTCGCGGCTGAAAGTGGTGATCTGTTGACAGGTGAAGCGGAAGAAACTGCGCCTGTTGCTGCGACAAAAAGCAGTATCCTCTTCACTGGGGACGCAGAGGGAGTTGTTCCTGTTGCTATGGTGATGAGTGAAGGAGAAATCCTGGAGTTGGAGGCAGCGAGAATACAGCAGGAGTCAGATGAAGACTTATATGCTGCTGGTGGAGGCAAATTGTCTCGAGCTGCTGACCTTCCAATCATCGACTGTGATGGGAAGACGTGGGAACGCCATTTTCATGAGGATGGAAGAGAATTTCAGAATATCTTTACTGCTTAGACACTGGAGATACCCAATGGGTGTTGCCTAAGAAGACTGGAATGGCTGGGAACAGTGAAGTGTCTGGTGTTGGAATGGGCATTGTCCCTGTGGAAGAAGAGTCAGCACTGGGTACTACCTCGTCCTCGTCGCCTACTGAGTCTTTCAGGGCACAACAGGGTAGCTTGGAAAGTGTAAACAGCGGTGTAAATAGTGTAGGTGAAAAGGATTTTTCCTCTACTATCAGGGATAGCGGTCTTAGGGCTGGTGGTGACGCCCAGACCTCGGGTTCTCCATGAGGAAGGAATTTCTGGAATCCGAGCAGACATCGCTGGAAAACATCTGGATCGGGAAGAGATGAAAGCGCTTTCTGAGGGTGTGGCAGCGGTGGAATCGGTGGGTTCAGAAGAAAAAATGCCCAATGCGGAGATTGGAACTGTGTCGGCTGCAGAAGAGCGAGTGGTGGATGTGGTACCTGTCGTTCAGGAAGGTGGTCCTGGAGATTTGGATGACGGAGGGAAAAAGTTGTGCGTGACGACTGGGGAGGTCTCTTCGTTTGGTGCCAAGAATCTTGCCATTCAAGGGAAAAAAGAAGCTTCTGGAATAGCTGGAGACACGGTCGATCTGAAAGATGAGGCCTGGAGCGCCAATGAAGCGCGGGTCAATGTGCCAGATAGTACCTGGAGTGCGGAGGAAGCACGGGTTGAGGCGCGTATGGTGTCACGTTCCGCGGACGACTGCAACAATGGGGCGCAGGTCTCCGTAGCAGCTGACGACGGAGGTTCACAGGTGGACGCACCGGTGCAACCTGAAGTTAGCAGCGAGGAACGAAATGGCAAAGAACACCGGAGCCAATGCGGAAGTATTGCCGTCTGGAAGCTCGCCGGAAGTCGACACCGAGCGAACTGTGACAGATGAAGCAAAGCCATTGGCTGGAAAAAAGGAAGGTCCTGAACCCCTTGAGCACAAGGTGGATGATCTTGTGGGACTCGTGCAGGAGCAGGACGAGCAGCTTGACCCAAAGGTGAAAACAAGGGATGTTCCAGGAGCCGATGATACAGAGATGGTTTCTGAAGAACAGGCGAAGGAAGTGCCCAATGGGGGAGCCTTGGTGACACCTGGGGAGCATTGTTATCAGGCCGGAGATTGGATCACTGCTCTGGTGCGTTGCATCAATGGGCATGGAGCCTTTTTGGCGCACGGTGATCTGAATGTGCTGATTCCTGAAGAAGGGAAAAATACACCCTCTTTCAAAATTGGTGACACTGTCTGCACGACAGTGAAGAGGGTGGATGATGATGGCACTGTGATTTTAGATTCCTGCCTAGTTTTTGAAGAGGACGATGAGGACTCTTCTCCAGCGCAGCGCAAATGGAAAGTCGGCGGCTGGGATACGTGGTGGGGAAATTCATGGTGTGATGGTCAATGGTACCAAGATTCCAACGGTCAATGGGACTGGAAATGGGAGGAAGAGCAATCCGATGAATGGTTTGCTGATCAGGAGTTATCCTCAGAAGAACAGGAGGAAAGGCAACTATGGAGAAAAGATCTATAGAGCTCTTCTGGAGGATGGGAAGGCTGATAAGGCCTATGTGGGCAAAATCGCTGGGATGCTGCTGAGTCGTACAATGGATGAGATACTGGAGTGTGTTGCAGACCATGCATTCCTGGATGCGGAAGCTCGGCGTGCATATGGCATCCTGCAAAGTGATGGTTGGACGCCCGATGGTACAGAAGGCGCAGGCTTGGGAAAGACAACCGCCTTTTCCCGAAAGCAGTACCACAACGCGCTCTACGAACTGGCATGTAAGAAAAGGAGATTTAGTCGACCAGTTGTGGGTGAAGCGGTGGCAACGTTGCTGAGTCAAGGCAAAGATGAACTTTGGAATGCGCTTTGGCTGGATACCAAGCGGTTTTTGCAGGAGCTTGATGGTGCAGTTGAATCCATGAGTAAGAGGGAAAACAAGCCAATGGAAGCCTACATGGATCCCGATCAGTATAAGAAAGCTCACCTGACGCCAAAAACTGTGTCGCCAGGGTACAGTAAACTGTGCAAGTTTTTCAATCAGGGAAGGTGTCGCAATGGAGATGAGTGTTCCTATGAACATCGTCGTTATGGTGAAGGTTGGCCAGGAGGAGGACCAACTGAGCCAAAGAACAGCCAAAAAGCTGGAGACGAGGATGGGGACATTGGTGACCCTCCTACGGAAGAAGGCGCAGTGGATGAGGCACAGCAGGAGCGGGAGGATTTAGCTTTCAGAGCCAAGTACAACTTTGGTAAAGGTGCATCAAAGGGTGAGTCGGTGTCAGTCGAGCCAAAGAGGCAAATGTGTCTGTATTACAGCCAAGGGGGTTGTAAATATGGAAATTCTTGCAGATATTCGCACGATGAAAAAGCGGTTTTGGAAGGGACTTGGGAACCCGGCAGATCCTGGGACAATGCGTCTCGGAGGGCCCTAAGGGAAGCAGGGTTCCATCATTGCTGCTTCGACTACTACCTCAAAGGGAGATGTCGTGTGCGATATGGTTGCAAGTATTCCCACGAAGAAATGTCTGAAGAGCGACTGGCCCAATTGAAGCATCTGGTGAATGTGGCGAACCATGTTTCGTTTCAAAGAGGAAGAGGATTGGAGATTTCCGACAGGAACACCTTTCAACCACCGGTAAGTGGGGGAGCGGAATCTTCATCATCTTCGGCACCACAGGCGTTGCAAATGACCAATGTGTCAAAGAAAACAGGTGAGGGTGATACACTGGATGGAGCAGATGGAGATGTACAAAAGGATTCGGTGGCAGAGTCTACCACGGTACGTCTTCAGAATCCTGAAGAGCCAATAGAACATTGGATGGCTCGCAACAAACACTTGTGGGTGTATACACCTCACGTAAGTGATGTTATGATCAAGCTTGGTGTAACCAATGTCAGAGAGCTACAAGAGTATATCTTTGTGGAGGATTTGGTGGACAAAGGAGTTAACAAGGTGACGGCCTGCAAAATTCTGCAATTGGTGGGTGGTGTTCAGTACCGGCCAATGTCGCCGGATGTGGCTGTTTCTACAACGCATCGGTACGCATGGAGCAATCTTCTGGAAGCCGTGAAGCTGGAAGAGATGGGGTGAGAACTATCTCTCAGGTGCGTGAAGCTGAAGGTCCTGGTACAAAGGAGATGCCGCGAGGGTCTTATCGAGAGATTTTCGACACCGGCAAGTACCGTGACGCTTGGACGCTTGCGCAGAGATCCCCGCTGTGTGTGCAGAGGTTGCGATTGGTGGGAGTTGGAATGCCACCGGTGAACCCGCCAACAAAGGCGTATCGGTCAAGATCAAACCCTGTGAAAAGGGGAAGGCCCTTGCTGGATAAAAAACAGGTGCGACAGGTGCCACGCTCTCGCTCACAACGGCGTGTGCAGCCGGCGGAAGTGGTGGAAAAGCCAAAGCCGCTGGAACCAGTAAAGCCCCGTGGTGGTTTGTCGTACCCATTCAGCAGAGCGTGGGCAGATTTGGTGGATGATGATGATCAGACGGGAGCTTTGGTCTCCTATGCAGATTCCTCAGGTGATTCAAGCGAGGAAGAAACCAACAGCGCGCGACACCTGAGGGAAATCTTTTTGCGAGAAAGGGATTCACAAAGAACTGCGACGCGTGGCAATGTTCCACTTGCTGGTTCTTCAAGCTCCAATGATGGGCAGAAAAAATCGGTTCACCTTGGCGAAGGGCGCGACAAAGCGTCGCGGGGGGAGACCCGCCAAGAAGTGACTTCTCAAGTTTTTTCGCTACCACAACCTTCTCGTCGAACTGAACAGTCTCAAAAAAGAGCAAGGGATGGCTCAGTTATAGTTGGTTCGCTGGCGGTGGGCTCCACGGATGAGGTTTTACCTGGGCAAGGTGTTGCTGGACAGGTGAATGTATCTGAAAGCGCTCAAGTTCTTCCTGGGCAAGAAGTGGCTGGACAGGAGACGGCGCTGGAAGGA